GCGGGCCCCAAGGCCCTACTTCGGACCGCTGCCGGAGCTCTTCTCCGGAAACCGACCGCCTTGCCTTCCCACCGCCCGCCTTCCATTTCCAAATGCCCGTCACAAGTTAGTCGCCGACAACATGCTTCCCTCCTAACAGTTGGTGATTATATTAAGCACCATCCTGAATTAGTGGGGTTTTTAAAACCCTTCCAGGGTGTGCTTTTTTCTGTGCCCAGTTTTGTGGCGTGAGCCATGATTCGCCACATGATTGTAAAGTGACCATTTTCCTGTTAGCATCTGGATTCCACTTTCAGAATGACTCTTGAAATACCAATGTGTGAAGATAATCACCTGGGATACGAGCAACTTGTTTCCTTCTCCTGGGAGCCGAAGCGCAGCTCCAGGTCTCCAGGGGGCCCGACAGATTCGGGGGACTGGGAGGCAAGTTTGGCTGCTCGTTTGGAGTCATTAGCACCTCAGCTCCTGTCGTGGTCGGCAAACTCATTAGTCAGCAGAGCCAAATGTCAACAGTACAACGATTGAAATTTCTTTTGAGAGCCAAATTTTTTAAACTGAAACTACATAGGTAGGTACATTGTTATTAAGGTAATTAGGGTACTCCTAAGGCTTAGGAAGAGCCACACTCCAGGGGCCAAAGAGCCACAGTTTGCCGACCAGGCTTAGATCAAATGCCGTGTCCTCAGCAGGGACCTGGAGGGCAGGGAAGTGGAACTAGCTTAGAGGAGTACCAGGGGCTTTAGTGTTTATCAGGTCAGGATGGTTATTATCTAGGTTCTCTGGGCCCCCTCGGCCCCTGGAGCACTTGACCTTCCAAGTGGTGGGTACATTGGCATGAAGTCTAAAAGGAAATCCCTGTTAATTTCAAGTTCTAGATGTCATGTGACATTAGCTACAAGTGCAGTGTTTTAACCCATGGCAGTTACAATAGTGGTCATATAGGTAACATTAGTGACTTAAAAGTAAACTCAAGGAAACACATAGGGAGCCCTTATTATGTGCCAGATGCCACATGGGGTGCAGCCTGTGCACTGTACACAGCTACACAATTGTGACCTATGTGGGGACCCCCTTCTTCCTCTGTGACCCCTTTCTCAACTCATCTTGCATCGGTTCTCAACCTGTGGGTCGCGACCCCTTTGGCGGTCGAACGACCCTTTCACAGGGGTCGCCTGAGACCATCCTGCATATCAGATATTTACATTGCGATTCATAACAGTAGCAACATTACAGTTATGAGGTAGCAATGAAAATAATTTTATGGTTGGGTCACAACATGAGGAACTGTATTTAAAGGGCCAGAAGGTTGAGAACCACTGCCCTAAGGGGTCTCACAGCTCTTCAGAGCACCAGGATGCCAGTGGACTTGGCATGAATGAACTCACAACTCACAGGTTGACTTCTCCAGAGCCCATCAGCTGGGACCTCCCATGTGGAAAGCCGCCAAACTATTTAAACACCACTATTCAGAAAAGGGAAGTGGCCTTGTCATGAGGATTTGCTTCTGCTTTCAGTGCAATGAAACCCAAAAAATTCTAAGATTAAGGTGTTTTGAGGAGGGATATCCTTTGCAAGCAAATGTCTTGGCATCATAATCATCATTATGAATGTTTACCAGACTCATAGAAGAAACTGGCATGCTGTCAGTTCATGTTACAGCCTTTCACTGGCTTGTGTTTCTGATCTTAAAAAGTGTTTATCTGAAAAGGGAATTAGGAGTTTGGAACTAATATAACAGGAGATGGTATGAAAAACTACCCATTTTAGTTTGTCTTAAGTAATAGTATTAGTCTCTGCCCTCATATTCTTAGAATTTAAACTATTTCAGGTATGGGAGTGGAGGGGTGGGGACCATCCTTTATCTTTCAAGTCCAGAGACCTGCTAAACTCTTTAGAAAGCTTCAGCTTTATTCTATATTTCTAGCCACACTACATTACAGATTTGCTAATCTAACTTATTTGAGGGTTGAGAACACCAAGGTTTTCTGTTCTCGTTGCTGTTAGGGGGAACCTATTACCCTTAGGGATAAGGCACTGTGTAAGCAGCGTCTTGCTATCCCTTGCTCCTACCTCAGGGTCTGGCATAGTATTTCATAGAATGAGAGCTGAAATGAAAATTTCATTAGCAGATTTTTTTTGTTTTCACAACAATACTTGTCACTATACACAAGTGAAAATAATACTTTTGGTTAAGTTTTTCTGTTTTAGATGATGTTTTTCCTATTTCCCAACTCAGAGTCATAAAGCTAATGAAATTGCAGAATAGAATATATGCTAATTTGCATGCACTATAGGCCATGGATTTGCACCTTTTACCTTTTCCCAGTTCACTGACTTCTAGATAAAGATGATCTGTGTTTAGTGATACCTACTTTTTCAAAAATATGTAATAGTTTCACTGGCATTCCACATGGTTTTCTAAGATAATTTGTTCTTTTTAAAAATTTTGATTTTCCATTAATTTCCTTATCAAACTTTATATAGTTATTGCTTATGAAAGCACCATATATGATTGGGAAGCAAGAATGGAAAGTGTTTTTTTCTTTCAAATAAAATAAATATGTTTGGGAGAAAGACACAGGTATGGAAAATAGCCACAGCATAAAATCTAGAGAACAGTTTTCATGACAATGCTTGTCACTTGTTTATGTGAGGAGATAGCAGGGGGACCTAACACAGAACAGTTTTGAGAACAGAAGTTTGATAAGGTGAGTCCAGTTAATGGAGTAGCAGAGAACTTGTATTTGACATGATAGGCAAGACAAAGTGATTAGTTTCTAGACTGAAAGAGAAGCATATGAAGGAGTTTTGAAAAGGCATGGGTTTCATTTGTAAAGCTATTGCAGGAATCATAAGCGTAAATGTGGATAGAATGGAAAGCGAAGTATTATAAGCAAGGATGGCCAATTTTGGATGACTGAATGCAAGAACTGGTAATGTGAGGAGACATCAAAATAACTTCAGATTTCTAATTTAGGTTATTCTCGACAAGGTAGTAGTTAAATGAGGATTGGGGAGTTTGTTGGTATCTTGCATGGTGGAGAATATATAAGGTTTGTGATCAGGCTGGTGAGTTTAATTCCCCAGCCAACCATTTTATAAAAGTGTGATTATAGGCAATTTATGTAAACTCTCACCTACTTATGGGATTTTTGCAAAAGGTAGACATAAACGACTTGGCTCATGTTATCTATCAGTTTTTCATGTTAAACAAGCTACATTATGTGTGTGTTTCCCTTGTGGTCAGCTAGAGAATTGTAGAGTTAAAGCCAAATATGGTTCCCACATGGTTCTAAGGCAGATAAATGTTTTTGAAAATGTACGTGTATCTCCGAATAACAGATTTTCAGAAGGACTAGAAATATTTTAAATGACCTACAAAGCAACTTTTGTGATTAGTAATGACTAAGTTTCCATTTATGTGAACCCTTTCTAGTATTTTGCATTCCAAAGAGGAAGAGGGCTGGTAAATGATCAGATATATTTCATTCTCAGTGTTTCTGAAATAGAGAAAAACATTTTTTTCTTTTTTTCTTAGCTGCTCTTACTTCAGTGTGAAGCCTATTGTTAACATTTCTTTTTTTTTTTTAACCTTTTTATTCCTTTTAAACTGAGCAACTCACTTGGTTGCTTTTCCTAACATTTCTGAAAATCTTAAAATATAGTAGACTAGTGGCTCGGTGAACGAATTTGTGCACATTGAAAGGAAATTAATTAGAATATTTTAATATCGCTATTCGCCCTTTCTCTATAGTAGAAGTGTCAACCAAGTTCACAATTGACAATGACAGATGGAAACACACGTGTGATTGGTGCCAGTGAGAGCTTTATATGTACCGTGCGTATGCGAGTCAACTTAGCCTTTTATGAATATAGAATAAACTTGCTTAATTAGACCCGCTTTCTGATTTAGCTAAGCTTTTTCCAGCCCAGTGAAGCACCCCAACTTATCTTTCAGATAATTGCCAGCAACACAGCAGTAAATATCAACACGAAGCAGATTATTATTGTAGATCATGCAGGGAGAACAAAGGGTAAAATATTTAACTGCAGCAGTGTTTGACTATGTATTCTGCGCAGTGAGACCTGAAGTCATTTTCAAGGTCCACCATTTCTTCTTTTCAGTCGGGTCAAGTTTCTAAGCTTCTGTTTTCTGGCTAATAAAAAGAAAATAGGATTCCACCAAGTCTCCTATCTACCTATTCCAGGACTTCGGTGAGGATCAAATGAGATGAGGCACGGGAAAATGCTTCACAGACATTTGGTTAAAGTGTGAAATGTTTGCACCTGGCTATAAAGCAAGTCATGTCCTGGGCTGAAGAAACTCCAAGGAGACTAGTCGCTAAGGAGAGGAAGCTGGGAGCTGCTATGTGATGGACAGTTGGACACTTAGCATATCAGCCTTTTATATGTAAGGAGAAAAGCATGACTTCCCTACCATTGCAATAGTAAAAACAAAGACCTTTTTTCCCCCATAAATTAAACAATTTGGTAGATATTGGGGGTGAGACAACTTGGCAGACACCAAAATATGTTAAAAGTTATGGTTGAGTGAGGTACCAGAAATTTTGCTCCCTTTCAGGACCCCATTCATTCACTGTCATTATATGACAACACCCACCCTCCAAAAAACTCATGTAAAGATGCAAAATAGTTGATAACAAGCAAAATAAATACTACAACTTGCAGAGATAGTCAATGGTCAACAGAGATTTAAAAAAAGAAAAACATTTGAGAAAAGTCTGCAGAGAAAATTAAGTTAATGGAAGAAGATCAAGCAAAAATAAAGATGATTCTTAGGGATACTTTACCAGTGGTTCTCAACCTTCTGGCCCTTTATAGTTCCTCATGTTGTGACCCAACCATAAAATTATTTTCGTTGCTACTTCATAACTGTAATGTTACTACTGTTATGAATCGTAATGTAAATATCTGATATGCAGGATGGTCTTAGGTGACCCCTGTGAAAGGGTTGTTCGACTGTCAAAGGGGTCGTGACCCAAAGGTTGAGAACCGCTGCTTTATACACTGCAGGATAAGGAGAAGAGTAATGAGGTCAAGAATAGTAGACAACCTGGGATGATGCAATAAAGCTAGAGATTCTGAAAGTGTTTGCATGCACTTTTCCAAGGGAGGAAATGGAATTTGAGGTCTGATGATGGCCATATAGCAACATTCTCTAAGCCTTTGAGTGCTTCTGGGGCAGACTTTTGGCATCAGTCTGGGCTCAAGACCATGACTGGTCTGCTCAACATATTTAAAAAGAGGAAGATAGGATTTGGGTAACTGGACATTATACTGTAATTTTGTTGTTGTTGTTTGCAATTTGCTTTTAGTGGGAAAAACAGATAAATGATATGTGAGGTCCATCCATGTTATAAAGATAAAAAATTGCTCAATAGAAACTAAACTATACAAAACCTATAGCAGAGAAGCTTTATATCAACAGTTAGTGTGAAACATAAAAATAAGCTATATCAAAACAGTGGTGAGAGTGGAAAGAAAAATGAGAAAATGAAGCCCAGTGAAAGACTTTGATCATGTGAAATCTGGAAGCTGTTGAGAAAAGGGAGATTGAAATAGCTCAAGCAGTTTTACAGCGGTAGAATATATCATCCTGGAGGTACTGATGTGTTTATTACACCCTATGGAATGTGTTGAAAATCATGGGAAGATGCATAATTTATCTGTAACTAGCTTTGATAATGTAGGATTATTTTTCAGTTTAATGTTTTTTGTTTATGTGGTAAGAAAGGCACACTTGTGATACAGTGTGGCATAGATGCCAAGGATGCTAAACACTTGCTGTGCCCAAGCCAGCCTCTCAAAATAAAGGCCTCAAATGTCAGTAATGCCAAGATTGAGAAACCTTGCACTAAAACACAGAATGAAAGAATACAATAGAATATAGCTTTTTCTTTGAGGTTCTCAACTATGATTCTCAAATGAACTGGAGTGAATAACCATGGTTTTGTTTGTTTGTTTGTTTTTTGTTTTTTTTTATTATTTTTTTGGGAGGGGCCGACCTACTTTTTTATTATTAAATCTTTATTGTTCAGATTATTATACTTGTTCCTCTTCCCCCCTCCCCCGCCCCATTGCTCCCCTCCACCCGGTTCCCACCCCACCCTCTGCTCTTAACCCCCCTCCACACACACACACACTGTCCTCATTCCATAGGTGTACGATTTTTGTCCAGTCTCTTCCCGCACCCCCCACACCCCTTTCCCCCCCGAGAATTGTCAGTCCACTCCCTTTCTATGCCCCTGATTCTATTATATTCACCAGTTTACTCTGTTCATCAGATTTTTTATTCACTTGATTTTTAGATTCACTTGTTGATAGATATGTATTTGTTGTTCATAATTTTTATCTTTACCTTTTTCTTCTTCCTCTTCTTAAAGGATACCTTTCAGCATTTCATATAATACTGGTTTGGTGCTGATGAACTCCTTTAGCTTTTCATTATCTGTGAAGCTCTTTATCTGACCTTCAGTTCTAAATGATAGCTTTGCTGGATAAAGTACTCTTGGTTGTAGGTTCTTGGTATTCATCACTTTGAATATTTCTTGCCACTCCCTTCTGGCCTGCATAGTTTCTGTTGAGAAATCAGCTGACAGTCGTATGGGTACTCCCTTATAGGTAACTGACTTTTTTTCTCTTGCTGCTTTTAAGATTTTCTCTTTGTCTTTTGCCCTTGGAATTTTAATTATGATGTGTCTTGGTGTGGTCCTCTTTGGATTCCTTTTGTTTGGGGTTCTCTGTGCTTCCTGGACTTGGAAGTCTATTTATTTCACCAGGTAGGGGAAGTTTTCTGTCATTATTTCTTCACACTGGTTTTCAATATCTTGTTCTCTCTCTTCTTCTGGCACCCCCATAATTTGGATGTTGGTACGCTTGAAGTTGTCCCAGAGGCTCCTTACACTATCTTGATATTTTTGGATTCTTTTTTCTTTTTGCTTTTCCGGTTGGGTGTTTTTTATTTCTTCGAATTTCAAATCTTTGACTTGATTCTTGGGATCCTTGTCTGCTGTTGGATCTCTGTATATTATTCTTTATTTCAGTCACTGTATGCTTAATTTCTAGTTGGTCCTTTTTCATATCCTTGAGGGTCTCACTAAATTGATCGGCAGTTTCTAGAAAATTCTTGAAAAACCTTATAACCGTGGTTTTGAACTCTATATCCAGTAGTTTGCTTTCCTCCATTTCTGTCATTTGTGATCTGTTCCTTTGTCTCTGCATTTTGGCTGCTTCCCTCTGCACTTTACTTCCGCACCTCCTGTGAGTCTCAGTATGCTTTTCTCTTTCCTTTTAGTTGTAGAATTTTCACTCAGCCAGCCTTCCTGTGGTTCTGGGTGATGTCCGTTTTGTCTTTTAGTTGTAGTTTTGAAGTGGTTGTGCGAGGCAGCAATTTCAGGTGTTTACCTATGCCGCCATCTTGGTTTCTCCCCCTTGGTTTTGTTTGTTTTTTAATTTCCAATAGTGTGAAGCTAAAATTTTTGTAAAATACAATGAAAGTTTCATGGCAACATGAATACTCTCAATTGCTTTCCTTCTTGTGAATGGGTAGCAAAGTGTTTGTAGGTTAGCACCAATCTGTGTGGACATTTTGAGAATTTTAGAGATTTTGTCTATGAATATTCTTTAATAAATTTGTATAATTTTTGAAATTAAGGAAAAGAGGTTTAAAAATGATTCATATAGTATTTACAACAATTGGGCAGTAGGGAATTGCTTGATGGAAAAGAAACATGAAATTTGTCAAGACTTCCACAATTAAAAATTCTTTTGGGGGTGTTTTTATATCATAATATTCAGAGAGCATGTTTAGTTAGGGCAAAGATAGTCAATCAGTTGCTAGCATCCCCAACCACCACCAGTTTCATACCCTGGGCAGATGGCCTCAAAACTCCTTCCTATGGATCCCTGACACAGCCTCAGAATCCTTAATATAATCCTATGGAAGCCACCACCATTTAAAAAGAGTTGGTATCAAATGTAAAACCAACTTATCATACTAAATTATGTTCCGAAGATATTTAGAGTATAATAGTATGATTACCTTAATTTTGTATTTCTTTCTTTTTTTAAAAAAAATAGCCTTTCTGATTTATCAAGGTTCTTAATAAACTCAAATCAAAGCTTTTCATATGCCGGTCTCATTACATGTATACTATTCAAAATCTTAATTATGGTAAAAGAAATTCATATCTTCATTTTATCATCATATTTGCTGTGACAAAAATATATCTTGAGCTGAAGCAGAACTTACAGTAAATACAGCCAGTCATTGTTTAGGGAAGAAAGAAAATCAAGTGACTAAAGGTATACCTAGGTTCATGTTTGTCAGAAGTAAAGTCTTTGAGGAACTGTGATCTGTTTTATAGCTTCTTAGTTTCTTTTATTCATTTATTTCATAAATGTTTATTAGCCACCATCTATGTGTCACACACCATTCTTTTTTTTTTAAATATATTTTCATTTCAAAGAGGAAGGGAGAGGGGGAGAGAGAGAGAAACATCAGTGATGAGAGAGAATCTGGCTGCCTCCTACACGCCCCCTACTGGGGATCGAGCCCGCCGGAGAATCGAAATTGACCTCCTGGTTCATAGGTTGATGCCCAACCATGAGCCACTGCGGCTGGGCCATCACACACCATTCTTAATGATTGAGATTCATCAGAACAAAGTAGGCAAAGCCTTCAGCTGCCTCTTTGGAGCTCGCTGACAAGGATTTTTTCCCTAGCAACCTAAAAACTCATAAAGGTGTCTAGCTTTAATAGCACAGTATTAAAATATCACATGGATTTCCTATGGCAGCATTAATATTTTCAGCTGTGAAATTAAACAGTGATGTTGTAGAAATGTGTGGTAAGGAAAGAATCACAAAATCAGACACTTTTCCAGACTGTGCTCCCCCTTTCTTTAAAGTTGGGATTTATCCTACTTTGTAGGAATATAGCTGGTATAAAATGTGAAAAGGAATGCAAAAAAACGTGAAAAATATTAACTGTTACATATAACATGTAATCAGACTTTTTTTTTGTTTTTAATCAGAAACCCTAATGATGAAAAATACAGATCTATCCGGATTGGAAACACAACTTTTTCTACTAGACTCTTGCCCGTCAGAGGAGCCGTTGAATGTTTATTTGAAATGGGCTTTGAGGAGGTAAGTCTGTTCAAGGGTTTCTTCTCTTCTTCCTCCTCAATGAATGTATGAAACATTCATTATTGTGTTGATGGATAATTACCTAAATTAGATTAATATTTTTTAAATTTATTGATCATTGGGGAAATCTGTGGGACTAGTTATTTCTTCACCTATTAGACATTTAAAAGTCACAATAAATATATTGTAAAATATAACAACTCTCCCACAGGGAAAAGTCTCCATCTGAATTGTGAGGTCAGACATGTAACGCAAGGAAGGACCAAATTCTAGCTCACTTTTGACTTTTAGCAAAAACCTGATTTGTGAGCACACAGAATACAAATAGGGTGTAACCACCTGTCTCAATAAGAAATGAAAAGATTAAAACAGAAAAAGTGAGCTTAGTTGCCACACATAAGTTCTGTGACAGGAGAAAAGAATCCCAGTCTGTTGTTTTTTTGTTGTTTGTTTTTAGGTCAAGAGAAATGTATGGTGTTTCTATCTTCTGTCATCTGTGGGATAGTTTAATTTTATGACACAGTGAAAGTAGTAATCAGGATTGTGAATTTTCTTTATGTGTATATGCTTAACTATTTATAGTTTGTGGAATACTGAAAAAAGTTGAACCAGGTTATGGAGACTCAGTTGTCAGTAGCAGTCAGAATTGACCAGGCTGTAGAAATTGTTAGGGTGCTAAGTTGCTATAAGATATACTTTCAGACATCATCCAGAACCACAGGAAGGCTGGCTGAGTGAAAATTCTACAACTAGAAGGAAAGAGAAAAGCACACTGAGACTCAGAGGAGGTGCGGAAGTAAAGTGCAGAGGTACGGAGGCTTGAGCGCACGCGGAAAGGGGCTGGCAACGGAGGACACCGGTGTCTTTTGCAATCGGGAGGGAGGCACAAGCTCCCCACACTCCAGTTCCGGGCGAGTCTCTGGGGACCCAGACTCATACGGGAAGAAACTGGACTGTCTGGCAGCGGGCGGAACTCGAGGGCGGCTTTCTCTCAGAGGTGCTTGCAGCAATTACTGGGACACTGAGACGCGGGACCTCTTAGGGCAGGACTGAGGATCAGCCATAGCTGTTTGCTCCGCCCTGTTGATTCCCTGAGACCCCGCCCCACCCAAGCTGTGCCCAGAGGCTTTTGCATATGAATGGGCTGGCCCTTTGAGATCTAAAATTACCTAACAAACTGTAGCTGGATCAGAAAGACCCAGATTACCCAAAAGAAGGCCCAAGGCCCCACAGCAGCTTGCATTGCTTCACAGCTGGGCCTCATCTGGGCACCTCCAAAACCCAAACAAGGAAGAGGAACCTGCAGATCTCTCTGTAGCTCCTGTTGGTTAGCCTCAGGCAGAGGCTAAATTAGCACCTCCTTAGAGATCCAAGAGCCCGTGTACCTAGTGGTCAGAGTGGCACCATCCAGATTACAACTCCTCAGATCTATAAGGGACACACTCAGGGGGCAGACTCAGTGAGCACCAAAGCCCCACTGAAGCAAGTCTTGCCCCATAAGGGTGTCTTCAGCACAGAAGTTCTCCCACTGTAGACACAACTGATTCTCACAGACAATTGGCCTGGAGGTCAATTCCTCCCAGTGATACCTACAACAATCAAGGCTTAACTACAGCAAGACTGTGCACACAGCCCACAATGGGGTGCACCAAGAGTGTCCACCCCAGGTAATGGGGGAGACTGAGTCACTGGGTCCTATAGGACACCTAGCACAGAAAGCCACTCTATCAACACAGGGAAGCATAAAAATGCGGAGACAAAGAAACAGGTCACAAATGACAGAAATGGAGGAAAGCAAACTACTGGATATAGAGTTCAAAACCACGGTTATAAGGTTTTTCAAGAATTTTCTAGAAACCGCCGATAAATTTAGTGAGACCCTCGAGGATATGAAAAAGGACCAACTAGAAATTAAGCATACAGTGACTGAAATAAAGAATAATATACAGAGATCCAACAGCAGACAAGGATCCCAAGAATCAAGTCAAAGATTTGAAATTCGAAGAAGTAAAAAACACCCAACAGGAAAAGCAAAAAGAAAAAAGAATCCAAAAATATCAAGATAGTGTAAGGAGCCTCTGGGACAACTTCAAGTGTACCAACATCCGAATTATGGGGTGCCAGAAGAAGAGAGAGAACAAGATATTGAAAACCAGTTTGAAGAAATAATGACAGAAAAGTTCCCCTACCTGGTGAAATAAATAGACTTACCAGTCCGGGAAGCACAGAGAACCCCAAACAAAAGGAATCCAAAGAGGACCACACCAAGACACATCATAATTAAGATGCCAAGAGCAAAAGACAAAGAGAGAACCTTAAAAGCAGCAAGAGAAAAACAGCTACCTACAAGGGAGTACCCATACGACTGTCAGCTGATTTCTCAACAGAAACTATGCAGGCCAGAAGGGAGTGGCAAGAAATATTCAAAGTGATGAATGCCAAGAACCTACAACCAAGATTACTTTACCCAGCAAAGCTATCATTCAGAATTGAAGGTCAGATAAAGAGCTTCACAGATAATGAAAAGCTAAAGGAGTTCATCAGCACCGAACCAGTATTATATGAAATGCTGAAAGGTATCCTTTAAGAAGAGGAAGAAGAAAAAGGTAAAGATAAAAATTATGAACAACAAATACATATCAACAAGTGAATCTAAAAATCAAGTGAATAAAAAATCTGATGAACAGAGTAAACTGGTGAATATAATAGAATCAGGGGCATAGAAAGGGAGTGGACTGACAATTCTCGGGGGGGGAGAAAGGGGTGTGGGGGGTGCGGGAAGAGACTGGACAAAAATCGTACACCTATGCATGAGGACAGTGGGGGGGGGGGGTAAAGGCAGAGGGTGGTGTGGGGAACTGGGTGGAGGGGAGCTATGGGGGGTAAAAAGGAACAACTGTAATAATCTGAACAATAAAGATTTATTTTTTTTACAAAAAGATATACTTTCCTTTGTGTCTCACTGCTTGCCTCCCCAGATTCTGTTTCAGGCCTTAGGAATGTATTAGTGAACTAGGTAGATATACATCTTTTTTTACATGAAGCTTGCATTCTAGTATGTTAGACAGATATTAGACATGAGGAGTTAGAGGGGACATTTTCGGTTGTCTTGGTGACTGAAAGATATTAATTACCAGCATTTAGTGGGCAGGGACCAGGTTTGCTTAACATCTGACAACGAGAATTATCGCAGCAAAAATACATTAAGAAACAGGTTTGTTAAATACTAGAATTCTCATTGATATCTTTTTTTTAAAAAATATATTTTATTGATTTTTTACAGAGAGGAAGGGAGAGAGATAGAGAGTCAGAAACATCAATGAGAGAGAAACATCGATCAGCTGCCTCCTGCACACCTCCCACTGGGGATGTGCCCGCAACCCAGGTACATGCCCTTGACCGGAATCAAACCTGGGACCCCTCAGTCCGCAGGCCGACGCTCTATCCACTGAGCCAAACCGGTTTCGGCTCATTGATATCTTAAACTGTTATTGGACCTAGGACATTAAGCCTGTAATTTTTTCCTTTGATGAAAATGTAGTGCTGTTGATTAAACTTGTTTGGTTCAGACACTCTGGCCATAATCATGTTCTGTTGGAACTCGTCCTAAAAAGAATGAAGGGAAGGGAGACAAGGCATGAGCAGCATCTCTGTCTTAGTGTCTGTCTTATCAGGGCCTCTCTCACCTGTGGACTGAGACATAGTCCCAGATACTTTTCCTGCTATTTTCCATCGCTGTCCATAGTGTCAGCTATTTCTCTCACTGCTCCTCCACTAACAACAGTAGGAGATCAGAAGCCTCCATACTTGGATTTAAGCCAGACGTCTGGTTTCTTTTCCCAGACCCTATCATAGATGTGAGGTAGTTCCTTCTAATGTTGGAAAAATCATTGTGTTCCAATTTGTGCCAATTATCATGTAGATAATCATTACAACTATAGAAATAGTCTCTTTTTGCTCATCCCTTCCAACTATACAAATGTGGTTTTTGGTCTCTGTTCAGTCTAAGTCAGTAATAGCCTAACAATTAAGATCATGCAGTTTGAATGCTTGCTCTGACAGTTCTGTAGCATCAGGCAGGATATTTAACTTCTCTAAGCCTTCATATTTTCATATAAAAGTGGAGATTAACCTAATGCCTATCTCTCAGGCTGGTTGTGAGAATTAGTTTAATGTGTGTAAAGTGCTTAGCACAAGGCTAGAACACATTCTATATAATAAAAGCCTAATATACTAAGTGTCCGGTTGTCCATTCAACCAGTTAAAGCGTAATATGCTAATGATATGCTAAGGCCGCTCAATCACTCGCTATAACGTGCACTGACCACCAGGGGGCAGGCGCTCTGACTAGTAGGTTAGCTTGCTGCTGGGGTCAGGCCGATAGGGACTGAGCAAGACAGGCCTGACATACCCTGGAGCCCTCCCGCAGTCCCTCCCCGGCTGGCCAACCTCCCGCGTCCCTCCCCGGCCCAATCGTGCCCTCTTGCAATTTGGGACCCTGAGGGCCTCTAGTAAACACAGTATGTGGAAATAGTCTCTTTTTATAGCTATTATGAGCAATGTATGGAGCTTGCTGGCCTCTTTCAGCTTTTTTAAAAAAGAATTAATGTAGAATTGATTTTCATGTCATTGAGTAATGTTTTGGTGTTAATTCCTCCAGGTCTGCCATCACCAGGAAAATAACGTTATTCTCAATTGTGGAGTTTAATTTAAATGCTTACAGTCTTCAAGTCTGTCTACTGCACTTTGTAACAACTGTTTTATCTCATTTGCAGTTGGCAGAATTACTGTTGTAACTGCTGCTTCTCAACACCTTGAAAATTGGTTGAATCTATTTTCATTTCATCTTTTTTCTTGTTTTGTAATTTGCTATTTTACATTGTGAGCTTTGTTACAATGTTTATTATATTTCAAGCATTCTGATAATACTATGGGCATTTATTAAATGAATCACTGCATAAATAATTGGATTTTTATTTTTTGATAGTTTGTTTTGTTTGGACCAGACATATGCTCTTAGTAGTCTAGTGTATATCAACTGTTATTTTTCTAATACTTTGGACTAGTATTATTGTTAACAATCCATGATTTTGAATTGACCATTAGGGTGTACTTTGTGTTATCTTGGTGGAATTAATGAAATTTATATACAAACTTCTAATCATGTCTTTAGCTATTCTCTAAAGACTTGGTTTTAGAAGATTAAAAAGTTATGTAACTTCTTGTTGGTCTTATGTGACCAGTGATCATTTGGTATGGCTGTATCTCTAGTATCATTATTTCATGGGTCATGTCATAGAGAACAGTAGTTATTATATACTGTTGCAAGGAAGATAGGAATATGCATATTTGCAACTCTTATGAGGCTTTCTAACTTAGTATTCCTAAAAGATAAATACTTTTCTTTCTTTTTTTTTAAGATAAACACTTTTCTAAAGGTTCTTTGAACTAATAAAATAGGCTTAGCATTATATGCTAAAAAGAAGACAAATTTTCTTGTTTATGTTAGGCATTACCTTTGTATATTTAAAAAATGCCATATAATAAGAAAACAATGATTATTAAAATATGATATTTTCTATAGTATTGGCTTCATTTATACATATATGTAAAAGAAAGACTATTAGTATTAAGCAAAAATTAAAATTTTTCCTAATTTTATAAATTCCAGGGAGAAACACATCTTATCTTTCCTAAAAAAGCTTCAGTGGATCAGCTGCAAAAAATTCGTGACCTCATTGCCACAGAGAGAAGTAGCAGATTGGATGAATCATATAAGAGCCACAAAGCAGAATTATCTCAGCAACCTGCAACCAGTATCCAGCTTCCTACAGCACAGTCTTCAGATCCTAATGGGTTAACCCAGCATGTAGGGGACAGTGGAGGGCAGTCATCAAATCCACCATTTGCTCCAATGGTAATGTTAGAATTAAACCTTTTCTGTTTCTTTTTAAGTTGAAACAGCAGAAGCTCTGAAATATGTTATGACTTATTCCTGAATTTATGCCTCAGCTATTCTAATACATCCAAATTTTCCCAACTCTAAAATATTCTCAAATTTGTAACAAAAGTGGGGAAAATGGCTGTCTTTTATTTATACTTTTAAATCTTAACATGGTTTACTGCTTCTTAGGGTAAGTTTTGTTTTTTAATTATAAATATACCTGTACATAAATGCCTTGGTACTTAAATCAGTTACACAAATTAGCTAAAACAAAGTAATGAATTTGCTAGATGGTAGTATGGCTGTCAAATATTTCCTCTGCTGCATTGATACTTCTGATCTAAATTTTACCTGTTGCCAATCACCATAAAAATTATTAATTCCAGCAACCTAACCATTATCATTGCTTCAGTTCAATAAAAAAAGTCAGCTTTTTTAGGTTTAAGGTAAATGCATTAATTTAATGATAGTGGTACTAGCAAATTAGTGATGTTTAGTTATTAGCGTATACAGATATACAGTTCTGAAGAACTTAAATCAAACTACTGCTGTCTTATTTAATAGGAAATTGTCCTGTTTACAAAAGTCCCTTTGATATAGGTCCTTAAGTATTTTCATTATAGTAACTTATCAGTAGTCAATTTAAACTCATATTCTCTTATTTTAATTTTTTAAAAATAGATTTTTATTGATTTCAGAGAGGAAGAGAGAATCATTGACCAGCTGCCTCCTGTATGTCCCCCACTGGGGTTCTAGCCACAACCTGGGCATGTGCCCTGACCGGAATCAAACCTTGACCTCCTGGTTCATAGGTCGATGCTCAACCACTGAGCCTCACCAGCCGGGCTCTCTTATTTTAATTTTGTAAAACACTGTATTATCCTCCATATAGCAGAACTTTATATGGAGTCGGTTATTAAATCTCTTAATTTTCTCCAGCTGAATAATTCCAGAGACTTTAACCTCACCTCCCTGGTAGGAAAATGATTGGCAGTTATTCCTTTGTGTAGGGCTGGGGAGGCCCAAAGCTTGTTTTTAAAAATAAAGAATAAAAGTGGTAGAAACTGGAGGAAGAGACAGTTACAGTTCTATTTTATAATTCTTGTTGAGTGGTTATATCATGTGATTTGACAAAATATACACTTTTTTTCATGGAGGTTCACTCTTGTGCCTCAATTGACTTATATTAACCTTTAAGTCTTTAAAATATTTTCTACTCATTAACATCACAGCTAATATTTTTTTTATAATAATAAGTGCAGCAGGTGTTTATGAATGCTTCTGGGAAGCTGTTAGTTGACAGTATTGGATAAACTAATAATGATGCTAAGTGACTAGGCATCAGATAAGATAGCATATGTGAAAAGAAAGCTTTGTGAACTGTAAAGGACTTTAAAGGTTTGACTGGGAATCAAACCTGTGACCCTTCAGTGCGCGGTCTGCTGCTCTAACCAGTGGGCAACATCAGGCAGAGCTCCAGTGGACCATTTTGTCCAGCTCCCTTGGTGTGCTTAGGCTGCTTTGGGACACCACTTACACAATTAAGTCTCTTACAACTTGTTTTCCTTATTAACACTATTACCGAACCTCTTACTAAGATAACAGTCTTCATGCTGCTAAATTTAAGGGACTTTTTCACTTCATTTTTATCTGACCATACATAGTTTTCAGCTCAGTTAATCATTTTCTGGTTTTCTCTCCTTCTGTAACTAGTTCAACTATTGACCCCATTGCTCATATTAGAGAATCTGTGGATCATGCCTATGTGTTTTTCTACTTTTCTAACTCCTCTGGCCCCACAGTTCAGTCACCAAGATTTGTTGATTCTACTTCCTAAGTTCTTTTTATATTCATTCACTTTTCTACCACTACTATAACAACCTTAGTTTAAGCCACCAGCTCTCTCAAGAATTCTGCAGTTGTCCCCCTTTGGGTCTTTTATACCTGCCTTCTCTACACTACAGCTAGATTGATATTCTGATAATACAAATTTGATCATTTTATTACCTTGCTTAAGTCTCTTTCATAATATCCCATTACAATGGAACGAGGTATGAAAGATTCAGCTACTTACCAACTCAACTTTACTTTCAGCCTTCTGTATCTACGATTTTCTTCTGATTCTTTACTTTATACTAAGCATAATCCCAATTCACATGCTCCCTAGCTACCTACATGCTTTTCCTTTGACAAGAATGGTCTTTTCCTTTCCCTATTTATGAGCTGCTTCTCATTATTCATATTTTACCACAAATATCATATATTCAGGGAATTCTAGGGTCAGAACCCTGTTGAAAAGTCTCACTCTCCTTATTCTTTGCTTTATAACTCTTACAATATCTGTAAATAAATTGTCTAACGTACCATTATATCCCCAGTACCTAGCAAATAATAAAAGGTCGTTAAATACTTGAATAAATGAACATTGTTTTATCAGTGTTTCTGTATCCATAGGCTACTTATTCTGAGAGGATAATGTCCTTGTCTATTTTGGTCTCCATTATTTTTTTTAATATGTTTTTATTGATTTCAGAAGGAAGGGAGAGGGAAAGAGAGAAACATCAATGATGAGAGAGAATCATGGATCGGCTGCTTCCTGTAGGCCCAACACTGGGGATCAAGCCCTCAACCCAGGCATGTGCCCTGACTGAGAATTGAACCATGACCTAGTTCATAGGTCAATGCTCAACCACTGAACCATGCCGGCGGGGCTGGTCTCCATTATTTTTAACGTAATGTGGTGGTTCTATCATTTTTGTTTAATGCCTCCTGACTTGTATCATAAAGTGATCATGTCTGTCTTGTGCACCCATCCCCAGTGCTTAATACAGTGCCTATCATTAAAAGTATTTGGCAGCCCTGGCTGGTTTGGCTCCATGGATGGAGCATTGGCCTGCGGGCTGAAGGGTCTCGGGTTTGATTCTGGTCAGGGGCATATGCCTGGGTTTCGGGCTCAATCCCCAGTAGGGGGCATGCAGAAGGCAGCTGATCAATGATTCTCTTTCATCACTGATGTTTCTCTCTCTCTCTCTCTCTCTCTCTTTCTCTCTCTCTCCCCCTTCCTCTCTGAAATCAATAAAAATATTTTTTTAAAACATTTGGCAATTGTTTTTATTTCTTTAAATTAATCTATCTTTAACCTTTTAATACACTTCCTATAATTAATAACATCTTTGAACTTATTTCTGACATTTTATTTTCTATGTTCCTGTTTTCTTGGCTTTTGCAATCTTTGTTCTTTTAAAATCTTTCTATTTTTGTTTTGTTTAAGTGGGCTCTGCCAAAAGTAATTGTTCTTAGTTTGGACACACCTCTTTCCTTTTAGGAATCTAAGCATCCTCTGGCACTGTTCAGAGGCACATTCTTTGTTGACAAGGAGTGATGGGGTGAGAGGTGCAAAATGTCTAAGTGTTCCTTCTGCAGGACCCATCCAGTCTCCCTAATGCTTGCTCCAAGGCCTCTTCCTGCTCTGTGGATTCTGTGGCTCCTCTGCCTTTGGGATTATTTTGAGAACTTTTTTTAGTTTTTGTAACCATTCTCTCTAGAGGACATATTACTATGGTTTCTTCCTTTAATTCATTTGTATCTGCCTTTTTTCTTTAAGAGTACTTATCCTTTGCTAATGCTGAATAAAGTTTTAAAAAATTATATTACTTACAGGAATTTGAAGTGGAAAGGGCTGTTACATGCATTGAACAGAGCATTGTCATGATCCAAGCTTGTGGTCAAGAATTCATCGCACACCTGTTTCAATATATCCTCAGTAATATAATATACTCAGAGGGAAAAAATATGTCTTAGACCAGGGGTCCTCAAACTACGGCCCGTGGGCCACATGCAAATACAAATATTGTATTTGTTCCCGTTTTATCTTTTTACTTCAAAATAAGATATGTGCAGTGTGCATAGGAGTTTGTTCATAGTTTTTTTTTTTAAACTATAGTCCAGCCCTCCAACGGTCTGAGGGACAGTGAACTGGCCCCCTGTTTAAAGAGTTTGAGGACCCCTGTCTTAGACTGTGACACAGATATGGCTATCTCATATAAATTTTGTAAAGGTTTTTAGTATAATTACTTCAGTAAATTCATATGTTCCTCTTTATGAAATCATATAGCCAGTGTTTTTTATGTTATTTTTATAGAATATGGAGAAAAACTAATTTCAGGTTTTTTTTTTCTATTAGGTTACTGCTGATTCAATCATTCTGAAAGTTCTTCAGGGCAACCTGCAGCATGTGCTGGTCTATGAAAATCTTGCTCTCCAGCAGAAAGCATTGGCTTGTATTCCCGTCCAAGAACTGAAAAAGAGATCTCAAGAAAAGTTATCTAGAGCTAGAAAATTGGATAAAGGTAGGGGCTTTACATCACCATTCATTACTAAAAATGAATCATCCTATCTAATAAAAGAGAAACATGGTAATTAACCATAACTTCGCTACCCTTCCCATTGGCTAATCAGGGTGATATGCAAATTAACTGCCAACCAAGATGGCGGCCGGCTGCCAGGCAGCTGAAGTGAACAGGAGGCTTGCTTGCTCCAGTGACGGAGGAAGCCAAGGTTTCCCCGCCTGCCTTGCCGGCCTCTGAGCTTGCTCTCTAAGAAACATTGTTGCCAATACAGAAGCTAAACAAAACTCCAGAATCCTGCTTTCAGCCGTCAGAGCTGGAGCGAGCAGGACTGAAACAGTGTTACAATTATAGAACCCAAACAAACCCAGATCCCTGCTTTCAGCAGCCAAGGCCTCAAGCTGGAGCCGGCCTCAGAGCTAAAGCCGGCTCTCAGCTCCAGTGACAGCTATAGAAGGTAAATAAATCCCAGAATAAAAAAAAGAAAAGAAAAAAGGAGAGGTTGGGAGCTTCAGTCGCCCGCCAGCCTGAAAACAGCCCTCAGCCCCTCACCCAGACTGGCCAGGCACCCCAGTGGGGACTCCCACCCTGAAGGGGGTTGCAAACAGCCATCATCCCCTCATCCAGGCTGGCCAGGCACCCAAGCGGGACCCCCCATCTTGATCCAGACACCCTTCAGGGCAAACCAGCCGGCCCCCCACCCGTGCACCAGGCCTCTATCCTATATAGTAAAAGGGTAAATATGCCTCCCAGCACCGGGATCAGCGGAGCTGCGAGGCCTCCTGGCCCCTGGAGCAGTGTGACAGGGGGCAGTGCCCAAACCCCCTGATCGCCCTGCTGCTCTATGTGTGACAGGGGACGGGGCCACAACCTCCCTATCCGCCCTGTTCTGTTCCTGACAGGGGAAGGTGCCCCAACCCCCTGATCGGCCCTGCTCTGTGCCTGATAGGGGGGAGCTCCCCAACCCCCTGATTGGCCCTGCTCTGTGTGTGACAGGGGAAAGTGCCCCAACCTCCCCATGGGCCCTGCTCTGTGTGTGATGGGGTAGAGCCGCAACCTCCCCATCGGCCCTGCCCTGAGTGTGACAGCAGCAGAGCCCCAACCCCCTGATCGGTCCTGCTCTGTGTGTGACAGGGGTCAGTGCCCCAACTCCCCTATCGGCCCTACTCTGTGCGTAACAGGGGGGAGCTCCCCAACCCCCTGATCGGCCCTGCTCTGTGCACGACAGGGTGGTGCCGCAACCTCCCCATCGACCCTGCCTTGAGTGTGACGGGGTGGCGCCCCAACCCCCCAATCGGCCCTACCCTGAGCATGACTGGGGGTGGCATCGCAACCTCCCGATCCACCCTGCTCTGTGCATGACAGGGGGCAGCGCCCCAACTCCCCAATCGGCCCTGCTCTGAGCCCGACCAGGGGCTGCACCTAGGGATTGGGCCTGCCCTGTGCCACCCGGGAGCAGGCCTAAGCCAGCAGGTCGTTATCTCCCGAGGGGTCCCAGACTGTGAGAGGGCACAAGTGGGGCTGAGGGACCGCCCCCCCCACCAGTGCACAAATTTTTGTGCACCGGGCCTCTAGTTGCTAAATAAACAGAAACACTAAATGGTGCTCTTTGCTATATATATTGTAAATATCTAACCTATTTCTGTGTCGATTCTTAAATAATACAATAACAGCATAACTTTATCGCATATAACTAATGAACACATCCGTTAATATTTGAAAAAAACAAACAAAACTTTTTTTACCCCTACTGGTGTGGCTCAGTGTTTGAGTGTCAACCTATGAACCATATGCCTAGGTTGTGGGCTTGATCCCCAGTGGGGGACATGCAGGAGATAGCCAATTGATGATTCTCTCTCATCATTGATATTTCTATTTCTTTCTCTTCCACTCCCTATCTGAAATAAATAAAAATATATTTAAAACAAAACAAAAACCACTATTTTACCCAAACATATATTTGCAGTTTAATCATAATCATTGGCATGTGAATTTTTTTAGGTTTAGTAGAACTTGAGTCCATGGAATATATGATACTATTATTAGTGAATCTTAATGTGAATCTAACAGAAACTGTATTCACAATTAATTTATATGATTAGTCCATTGATTCACTTTGGTTAAGAGAGAGAGATTATTTACTAATTAAAAATGTAGATTTTGAAGCCAATTGCCTGGGTATAATTTTAGCTCTGCCACTTACTGTGCATCACTGAGCAAGTAATTTAATCTCTATGCCTCAAATTTCTTTATTTGAAATAGGAATGATAATTTTCAGAAATAAATGATATTATTTGTAAATGACTCTGAACAATTCTGCCACATTTCATCTACCAATAGTTATATGTCATTGTTATCATTAATGGTCTTAGGATTTTAATTGTTAAGTTATTCCAACTTCAGCATTTTACTATGCGTTTCTGTGTAATTGTTTCTTATCTGGCTGTTGTAGGGACTCTAAGGAGAGATGATGCCAGTGCTGTATTTCTAAAAGTTTATTTTTAATCTAACATTCGTGAATACCTTTTTGGTTAGAAAACTTACATATACAGGAAAAGTTAAATTCTCCTTGCCAATCAGTCCTACGCCTCTTCTATAGTTACCACTTGTTATCTCGTGATGTGTTCCTTTTCATATTTTGGGGGAGTATTTACACTCATTTACAGTTATCTGTAAAAATAAATATTTAAGTTGTGTGGGTTTACATAAAATTTATCCCATATATCTTTACTCTGTAGTGTGTTAAATTTACTATCATGTCTTAGAAATCTTTTTAACTCTACATGGTATTCTTCTATATTATGCATATACTTTATTTGTACCATTTCCTATCCAAGAAAATTGAGATTTTTTACCATCTATCTCTATTCTAAATGCTGCAGCAGTGAAGATTCTTGTAAAGCATGCCTCCTGGTATACATGCACGTGTGTGTGATATGTATGTTATCATAGATCCTGCCAAACAAATGAAATTATTGAACTTCTTTTAGGAACTTTTTAAATTTTTCTGATAGGTGTGTTAGTATTATTACTTATTTTTAGAAGTTTCTTATATATTTGGGGTACTTACTTTTTCTTTGTTAGTCATGTTACTCCCTCCCCCCCGTGTTCTTTGTTTAATTTCACTTAGTATATAGTTTGATGTACACTATAAGAAAATTTATTTTTTCATTATTTTACAGTTTTTGTCTTGGTTAAGGCCTTAAACATATTCATGAACAAAAGTCATAAACATTCTCTTGTAACTTCTATTACTTTTATAGCATTTTTTTCTGTGTATATATATATTATATATATAGTACTATAAATATACATTTAAGGATGAATGAAGTACAGTAAGAATCTGCTATTTTGATAGCTACCTGTCCCAATATCGTTTACTGGACAGTCCTTCCTCTTAGAACTACTTTGAAAGACTAACTTTATTAAATATGGTTTATCTCAGACATTTCTCATAGCAATATTTTTTTTCTGAAATATTTCCTCGGGCAAGGGAAACAAAAGAAAATATGAACAAGTGGGACTACATCAAAGTAAAAAGTTTTTGTACAGCAAAGGAAACCATCAACAGAATGAAAAGACAACCCACTAAATGGGAGAACGTATTTGCCAATGATAATGGATTAACATCCAAAATTTATAAAGAACTTACAAAATTCAACATCAAAAAAACAATCCAATTTTAAAAATTGGGCATAGGATCTGAATAAACAGTCTGCAAAGAGGACATACAGATGACCAATAGGTATATGAAAGATGCTCAACGTCACTAATCACCAGAGAAATGCAAATTAAAACCACAATGAGGTATTACCTCACACCTGTCAGAATGGCTATCATCAATAAATCAACAAACAAGTGTTGGCAAGGATGTGGAGAAAAGGGAACTGTCCTGCACTGTTGGTGAGAATGCAGATTAGTGCAACCACTGTAGAAAGCAGTATGGCGTTACCTCAAAAAATTAAAAATGGAACTGTCGTATAACTCAGTGATTTTACTTCTGGGAATATATACAAAGAAACCCTAAACACTAATTTGAAAGAATATATGCACTTTTATGTTCATTGCAGCTTTGTTTACAATAGCCAAGATTTGGAAACAGCCCAAGTGCTTATTGCATGAGTGGATAAAAAAGCTGTGGTGCACTTACACAAGGGACTACTACTCAACCTTAAAAAAGAAGGAAATCTTACCCTTTGAGACAGCGTGGATGAACCGAAAAGCATTATGCTAAGTGAAATAAGCCAGTCAGAGACAGGTACTATATGATTTCACTCATGTGGAATCTAATGAACAAAATGATATCAAGCAAAATAGAGACAAACCCATAGACAGACAAGGCTGACACCTGTCAGTGGGGTGGGGAGGCTGGGAGTGGAAGGATTGAGAAAAAAATAAAAAACTTACAGACACAGACAACAGTGTGGAGATTGCTGGGGCAGAGGTGCCAGGAGGGAGGTGGAGGAGGGGATAAAGGGGATAAATGGTGATGGAAGGAGACTTGACTTGGGGTGGTGAAGACAATACAGTGTTCAGATGATGTGTTGTGGAATTGTACACCTGAAACCTGTAAAATTTTGTTAGCCAGTGTCACCCCAATAAACTCAATAAAAAATGAAAACAAAAATCTGTCAGGACTCTAGTTTTATTGATTTGTTGTCTATTCTTCCCTAATATCACAATATTTTAATCATTAGAATGTACCTTGGTTGCGGGCACATCCCCAGTGGGAGATGTGCAGGAGGCAGCTGATCGATGTTTCTCTCTCATTGATGTTTCTAACTCTCTATCTCTCTCCCTTCCTCTCTGTAAAAAATCAATAAAATATATTTTTTTAAAAAAATGAAAACAAAATCTGTCTTTCAGGACTCTAGTTTTATTGATTTGTTGTCTATTCTTCCCTAATATCACAATATTTTAATCATTAGAATTCTGTAATGTGTTTTGATATGTAGTAGGCAAATTTATCTCATGGTTCTTAGTCAAAGTTATGTTGACTATTTTGTGCATTTTTTTCTTTTGACCGGAATCGAACCTGGGACCCTTCAGTCCGCAGGCCGACGCTCTATCCACTGAGCCAAACCGGTTTCGGCAATTGAGTTTTCTAATACAGGAAAATAATATGTTTCTGGCCTTTTTATATTCTCTGTAGTTTCATAGTTTTTTAATTGTGAAATATATCAAACAAATATAAGAATAGAGTATAATACATCAAACACCCATGACGAGCATCAAACTTTATTAGACTTTAACATTATGCTATACATTTCCTTTATGTATCATTTTTTAAGTAATAAAACATTAAATACAGAGATGAGAGTTCCCTGTATAGGTTTCCTAGGTTTTTTCCCCCTTCTCCTTTCTTTCATTCCAGAGATACCATAAATATGGTCAAGAAAGGTATTTTTATTTGATAAAGGGGATATATTATTATGTGTCATGCTTACTTGCTAGGATCATTATACACAGTGTAGACATGCTCTTGTTTTTATGTTTTGTAGAGAGTATCCATGGATGGATTATGTTGTATGTTGAAACCCTGATAGAAAAGCTAATAGGATGATTTTTAAAGTGTCTGGAATTGTGTGATTCCTGTCTGTGATTTTGTGATTGTTTCATGTTTCCTTGTATATATACCTGATAACTTTAATACAGTAATTTAAAGTGTTTTTCAGACTTTTTTCTTAACTTCTCATGTGTTTCAGGATCAATTCCAAACTGACCATAGTTCCCTGAGAGATTGTGTGTTCAGCTCACATGTTAATGCATAATGTCTGTCAGAGGGTACAAAGTGGTAAACGTCCTACTGTTCTAAAATGCAGTGTACTGTTACCCTATTTCAGCCTCATTCACAATCAATATCTAATGATATTTCTTGCATTAATATTTGTGCAAACCTTTTAGATCATATATTTTCATATATTTCAGCTCATATCTGAGAATGTGGATATTTTTAGTTTTTGTCAGCTTTAGCTCTTACTCGGTTCTGTTTTAATTTCCCAGGTACTAATTTAAGTGATGAGGATTTTCTTTTGCTGGAGCTTCTACACTGGTTTAAGGAAGAATTTTTTCAGTGGGTGAATGACATTTTGTGCAGCAAATGTGGTGGCAAGACGAAGTCTAGAGGTGAAGGATTATTTCCCACTGAAGACGAGTTGAAGTGGGGTGCAAACAGAGTGGAAGATCATTATTGTGCTGCGTGCCAGTTCAGCAATCGGTTCCCGAGGTGGGTATCCAGTGGACCGTCAAGTCTTAATGGAATGGGTAGAAGAGAATTTTTATTAAACGAAATTTTTAATCTTCATTTTAATTATTAGGACAAGGATCAACAAGGTATGACTGGCAGGCTAAATCCAGCCCACATCCTATTTTGTAAATAAAGTTTTTTTGGAACACATCCATGCTGATTCATTTATATATGTTCTATAACTTTTTATTTTATAGTGGCAGAGTCGAGTACTGGAAACAAAGATCATATGGCCTTCAAAGTCTAGAATATTTACTGTCTGTCTTTTTAAAGGAAAGGTTTTTGACTCTTGCTCTTGAATATAAATTGAGTGTAAACCTAGTACATTTAATGCTATTAATCTCATATTGTTCTCTATATACATTAATTTTATATTTCTGATAACTTTAATATTAATACTTGATAGAATATAAAAACAATACTAACAACATTAATAATATTGATAATTGTGATAGCAAATACAATACTGTACTTAAATTAATCATCAGATAGTAATATGGAAGGTAAAAGTACAGTGCCATCATTTGTTTTAATTAGGTGCCTCCCCTACCCAACCTAACCTACCTTCATATCTCTAAATTTTCAACAATGGAAATTTGAACTTTTCAATTAACTTTTTCTATTAATTTATAAGCCTCATCAGTTTTTCTTAATTGGCAATACTTGTAAAGTTTGGTTGTATCATTAGGCAAGAAAAGACATATGTTTGAAATACCTAGTTTTGGGGGCTTGGGAACTCCATTCTCTCCTTAAAGGGAACCATTCCTGTGATATACAGAATATAGGATAAACAAAATCCAATGTCCAATTATTATAAAAAATTGTACAAGTTATATCTTCATTAGCATACATTTGCACAGACACTTTACAAAGACTTGAAGATGAAAGATACATATAATTAAGTCCCTCTCCTCATAAATTTTTTCTTAGTGATTTGTTGTAAACTGATAATGTAGTGTGGAGGAGCCCAGTCTAACAAAACTATTTATACAGTGTTTTTTTCCTTTCTAAACATTTGCTCATTGTACTCTTAGCTGTTCTCTGTATTGGGTTCTGATGATGAGCACTATTAATTAGAAGCTGAGCTGGTTGTTCAACTTGGCACAGTGGTATACAGAAGGAGGAGGCATAGGTGCTCTGATTCTGTTGTTTTACTTATTGTAAATTTATAACGTTTCAGTGACTTAATTACCTGAATTATAAACTCATTTAACTTAGCTTACACAAGATCATCTGCTTAAGACAAACTTGTCATAGCAGAGCCAGTTTATTCATGTAACTGCATCCTTCCAAATTCAAGGCCAGCATTTCTGCTCAGCTGGGGCCTTTTCCTGCTTAGCTTTATCAGCTCAAAATCTTTCTCAGGCCAAATGCAAAACTTGCTGTTCTCCAGTTTTGTGATAATTTTATAATTGGAGACATAGCAAATATCTTTTAAAAAACAACTTCCAAATTAGGAAGCACCTTTAAGTAGTTGAAAAGAATAAAATTTCAATCAAAATAATCATTAGAGACAGGAAAAGGATTTTCAGTAAACTTGAGTTCACCTAAGCTTAAAAGCTTCATTGAGTAGTCAAAGTTGTTTACCTTTCAAATACAGTGAGCTAATTAGACTACTTGTTAGGGTAATGCTAATGCTCAGAGCAGATTTCCTGGAGAATCTCTGCCTATGCAAATCCTGTCCTTCAAGGCCTGTTCAAATACTAGCTCTCCTCCCTGACCACTCTCCTATAACCCTAACCTGACCTATTGTAAGGTCTGTATTACATTCTTCTGTGTATTCAATTTAGTTATATTAATTCCTTCTCCCTCTTAGGACTGTAAACTCCTTGAAGGTTGTACCATTGTTTAATCATTTTTACCAAAGATTCTAACAATGCCTCATATATTCTAGGCTCTCTAATCATTACGAATTTAAAATTAGGAATATTACTGTTTAGCACAGAGGTAATATAAATTCTATAAAATTTTTAGTTTTGATAATGAATCAAAGCTTTTTTACTGTTATTTAAAACCAGGTATAATAACCCTGAGAAACTTTTGGAAACGAAATGTGGACGGTGTGGCGAGTGGGCCAATTGTTTTACACTGTGCTGCCGAGCCTTAGGGTTTGAAGCTCGCTACGTTTGGGATTACACAGGTACAGAACTGGTGTGAGCAGAGAGTAGTAGGGCTTTGCAGAATTAAGGATTTTACGGTCTGGGCTTGTTATGTTCTGTCTGGTACTTTCTGGCCTTCTGAGTCCGAGCTTCCATTTGCCTTTTGTAAAATAATAATACCAACTCACGGATTTTTTATGGGGATCACAAAATTTTTGTGGTGCACCTAATATTTTGCATAGTACTCTGCACTATAAACATTCTTTATTAATAATTTACCATGCCATTTTTAGTAATGGTGTTTCTATATGGATAAGAACATGTGTAATAATATGCTATAGAAATCTTTACTTTTGTAGGATTAGTATAAAAGGTTTAGTAATCTTAAATCTTAATATACAAAAAAAGTAAAAGCCATGTGAAATTTATTTTGTTCTTATTTAGAAATGACATATGTCATCTACATGTCAAAAGTTGTTTTCCTTTTTTTCAATGTTTAACTTATGTTTCATTTGTTATTGTTCTCTTACAATGTAGAACATCAATAATCAGAGATCCTCCTTAGACTTCCTTTTGGTTCTGGGTCTTAAAAATTGAGAGAGACTGCATTTTCAAAAGTGACATTAACTTCCTCACATTAGCAAACTGATCCCTGTTTTTGATGCTATTGTTCAATATGTTCACCCTTTTTAAAGTTATAGCTCACATTATTTTTAATTAAGCCTAAAACTGACTGCATTAAATGAGATATTCCACAAACATTTTCAAGGATTTCAAGGGACAGAGAAAAGTGTACTAGAGTCTTATGTGCCACAAAATGTTCAGTCTTAACTAAGATTTAGAATATTACACCTAACTTTATTATGTGGTTCTTATCGTAGGGTTTGTATATAGTTACTGGAAGTCATTCTGGTTTTGTAAACTTTTTTTCTTCCTGTTGCTCTCTGGTGTACCTGAGCAGACCATGTCTGGACAGAAGTCTATTCTCCCTCTCAGCAGCGGTGGCTGCACTGTGATGCCTGTGAAAATGCCTGTGACAAACCGCTCCTCTATGAAGTAGGGTGGGGGAAGAAGCTGTCCTATGTCCTAGCATTTTCTAAAGATGAGGTAGGCATAAGAGAACACTTTTTTTTCCCTAAGAATAAAATACAGTTTTGACAAATTTTGAAAGTATAATTGACAGACAAAATTTGACATATATTTAAAGTATACAATTTAATAAATTTTGTCATTTATATACACCTATGAAATTACAAAGTCAAGATAGTGAACATATCCACTATCCCTGGAAGTTTCCACATGTCGCTTTGTTATCCCTACTTCTTGTCTTTGTCTGAGTAACCACAGATCTACAGTTTTATGTAAATGGAATCATATAGTATACAGATGGTCCTACTTATGACTGTCGATGGTTTTTCAGCAAAAAGTAAAAGCAATACAAATTCCCTAGAAACTATACTCTGAATTTTAAATTTTGATCTTTTTTCTGGGCTAGTGATATGCTCTCATGTACCATACTCTCATGATGCTGGGCAGTGTAGGTGACCTACAACTCCCAGTATATCATTCAGTCACAGGGTAAATAACCAATACTCTGTAGTGTGCTACTATTAAGAGCATTTTCAACTTATATCCTCAACTTATGGATTTATTGGGATGTAATCCATCACAAGTCAGGGAGTATCTATATCCTCTTCTTGGTGGGGTGAGGATGGGAGAGTCTAGTTTCTTTGTATAATTACTTTGAGATTCATCCATGTGTATCAGTGGTTATTTTTATTGCTGAGTATTCCTTTGTATAGATGTACCATAGTTTATTTATTCATTCATCTGTTGATGGACATTATTTATTTATATGGTAGTTGAACAAAATTTGTTCTTTTTTTTTTTTACTGTTGACACTATTATAGATGCCTGTTGTTTTCTGCCCTCTACCTCCACCCAGCTTCCATCCCCTGGCCATCACCACACTTGTCTGTGTTTGTGGATCATCCATATATATTCTTTGGCTAATCTTTTCACCTTTTATCTAATTCCCCCCGCTTCCCCTCTGAGATCTGTCAGTCTGTTCCATGTATTCATACAGTACTAAGCATCTTTTTATGTGCTTACTAGAGGCCTGATGCATGAAATTCATGCACTCGGGGGGAGGGGAGGGGATCCCTTAGCCCGACTTGCACCCCCTCGGTGCAGTCCGGGAGCCCTCGGGGGATGTCTGATTAACAGCTTAGGCCTGTTCCCCTAAGCCAGCAGTCAGATATCCTTTGCGCTGCCACGGAGGCGGGAGAGGCTCCTGCCACTGCACTCACCAGCTGTGAGCCTGGTTTCTGGCTGAGCTGTTCTTCCACTGTAGGCACACACTAACCACCAGGGGTCAATTCCTGCGTTGTGTGGGATCAGGCTGAAACCGGCTCTCTGACATCCCCCAAAGGGTCCCAGATTGCAAGAGGGCTCAGGCCAGGCCAAGGGACCCCACTGGTGCATGATCAGGACTGGGGAGGGACCACAGGAGGGCTCCAGGGCGTGTCTGGCCCGTCTCACTCAGTCCCGATCAGCCAGACCCCAGCAGCAAGCTAACCTACCGGTCAGAGTGTCTGCCTCCTAGTGGTCAGTGAACGTCATAGCAACTGTTCGACCTGTCGACTGTGTGCCCCCTAGTGGTCAGTGTACGTTATAGCAAATGGTCGACCAGGTTGACTGCCCCCCGGGAGTCAGTGCACGTCATAGCGAGTGGTTGAGCAGCCTTGGCATGTCATTAGCATATTACGCTTTGATTGATTGAACGGGTGACTGGAAGGCTGGACACTTAGCATATTAGGCTTTTATTATATAGGATTTGCCATCCACCTGTCTACTTTGCCCACTTTTTAAATTTTTTTTTTATCGTTGAATTTGAGAGTTCCTTATATATTCTGAATGCAAGTCCTTTACTAGATATATGCTTTGCAAAACATTTTCTCCTTATCTGAGGCTTATCTTTTCATTTTCTCAATGATTTTTGAAGAGAATAAATTGATGAAGTCCATTTTATCAATTTGTTCTTCCATAGATCATGCTCTTTGATAGTGTAGCTAAGAAAATTTTGCTTAACGCAAGACACAGTGATTTTCTCCTTTGTTTTCTTTTAGAAGTTCTATGCTTTAAATTTTACACTTGGGCCTGTGATCCATTTTGAGTTAATTGTGGATATACTCTAGGGTGTGGATTGAAATTCATTGTTTTATATATGGATAAGGAACTTTCTAGCACCTTTTGTTGAAAAAGGTTATTTCTCCATTGAATTGTTTTTGCAAAAATCAGTTCTATAATATAAATTTCATACAGTAAAAATGGAAAAGGTTTTTTATTTGTTGTATTTTGGGAAATCAGTTTTAAAAAACCTAAATGTCCTAAAAACTTCATTTTGTCACAGTCTTTCTTGGACATGTGCCTGAACAAAATGAATAAAAAGCACATTCTCTGATTTTGTTCCACAGGTTTTTGAACTTGAATAAAGATAGCATTTGTAAAACTTTATGTTTAAGAATTACATTCTAGGTATTTAAGGTTGATGTTTGTAATCTTGTCACATGTTTGTATTCTATAATTTGAGGTGGTTGATGTCACTTGGCGATATTCTTGTAAACATGAAGAGGTAATCTCCAGAAGAACTCTGATTAAAGAAGAATTACTTCGAGAAACTATTAATGGACTTAATAAGCAGGTAGGTGATGGGCATTTGTCATTTTTGAGAGGATATTTGCTGGTTTTTAAAGTTGTGGCATTATTTTGTAAGCTAAAATATTTTAATATGTTAACTGTCTTTTTGTTAATTCAAATTTCTGATGGCTTATTTTAAATATTGTACTTTTTTACATTAAACCATTATGTCTCAAAGTTCAGTGAAACAAAATTTTAGTATATATAATACTTGGCAAAAGTATGTTGTTTTATTTATCCAAGTAATTCTGTCTTGAATATAATTACACACACACACACACACACACACACTTGTTCAAGTATAGAAATTTCTAAAACAAGACACAGGAAATTGTTAACAGTGACTGCTTCCGAGAAAACCTGGTGGTTCAAGAGGGAAGATTAAGTTTTTACTTTATACCCTTTTGGTAGTATGGAAATTTTTTTAACTATAGACTTGTATGAATTTTTTTTCTATGCGCTATTGGAAGGCAATTAGAATAGGAGTGGATCACCTTAATTGACGTTGACAGTGAGCTTTTCAATCTCTGTGGAATTTCACCTTTAATGTGTAGTCCTTCAGAGATGCCAAGCTGAAAACCTGGAGTATTTACTAGATCCCTTCACCTTGGAAGGCTCTGATCTCCAATTATTTACTCGCCAGCACTTTGTTTCTGCTAAAAATTCTTTGTTTTTCAGCGCTTTAGCCTTCATTTTGTGCTTGGTTTCTCGGCCCCTCCTCCTCGTTTCAGTTAATAATTAGCAAATTCCTGGAAGGGAAAAGTAACACAGTATTTTTAAATTTTTTTTATTGATTTCAGAGGAAAGGAGAGGGAGAGAAAGATAGAAACATCAATGATGAGAGAGAATCATTGATTGGCTACCTCCTGCACGCCCCACACTGGGGATCGAGCCCGAAACCTGGGCATGTGCCCTGACTGAGAATCGAACCATGACCTCCTGGTTCATAGGTCGATGCTCAACCACTGAGTCATGCTGGCTGGGCAAGTGGCACAGTATTGGTTCACTTCAATTTACTTCTCTTGGGATCTTCTTCAATCTGGCAACGTTGGTAGTTTTCTATTGCATTCAAACAGGTTTTTGTATGTGTCTGTGTGTATGTGTTCCCCCTTTTCTAACTTTCTCAATGGGACAGTTGATCTGACACAAGTAGTTTACTGGGGCCAAAAATAGAGGTTGGTATCTTCATTTTAAATCTAGGATATTAAAGGTCATGTAGCGTTGGATGTGGGTATGAAATGATCTCTTTACCTAAGGTTTTAAAAATTACTTTGAACTTTCTAGTGTTCATTTTATTTTCCAAATAATTATACATATGAAAATAAAATTTGTTACTTCTTTTAAGATTCCCTTTAAATATATGTCTTAAGTATATTCTTACCTAGAGTTGGGCTTCCACATTTTCCTAATCTTAATGACTTTTTAAAACATGTATTGTAGAGGCAAATGTCTTTGTCAGAAAACAGAAGAAAAGAACTTCTCCAGAGGATCATTGTGGAGCTTGTTGAATTTATTTCTCCCAAGACCCCTAAACCTGGAGAACTTGGTGGAAGAATATCTGGGTCAGTGGCTTGGAGAGTAGCCCGAGGTGAAATGGGTCTAGAGGTATTTAATTCATTATAGCATGATAATCTCACTTTCCTGCTTCTTATACTGTGCTCTTTACTTACTGAAAAAATGCATTGGCCATGACTTTTCAATTAACTTTTCAGCTTAATTATTAAAAACTGAAACCGATGATTGATTGACATAGTCTGGTCACATACAAGAGGGTTAGCAAAACATTTTAAAATAGGATTTTTCTATTTATTTTTCATAAATTTGAGTATAGTATAACTTTTACTGAAATATATACAGAAAAATGCACAAATTGTAAGTGTACAGCTGAACAGATTTTTACAAATTGAGCACCCATGTAATCACCAACCAGAATAAGAAATAGACTTGCATATATCTGGTATTGGCTAGAAATTATTGCTGCTGGTGTGATTGCTATTATATTGTCAAACTTATTTTAAGATATCTTTTGATTAATCTTCCAAAATTAAATAATGAACAATGGAAATATAATGTCTATAATTAGAGGGTAGGTGAAAAGCTCTGTAATAAACATGAAGAAAGTACAATAGACTGTCCCTTTCCCTTAGGGAGTTTAAAGTTGACTCACTATAAAATATTTACTTTTTAATAAATATATTCTCATAAAGTATTTTATATGAAGGTCTAAGGTGATAATGTAATGAAAAGTGCTTGAAAGGAAAATAACCCATCACGATATCAATATCGACAATTCTAAACTAATTAAAGTTTTATATCTACTTTTTCTAAATTTGCAACTCATTTCTCCAATAAAGAAATATGTCTAAAGGGAGTGAATTATCTTCAGTAACTTTGTTTGCTTGTTAATTTATCCAGAATCTTTAGCAGGCAGTTGGAAGTGTTGGCTCAGCCATAGAATTACAAGATCTAAATTCAACAAATCATTCAAATCACTGCTGATGCAGTGCAAGTTATAAGTATAAATGTAAATGAAGCCAGTTTAAAAGAGCTAATTTAATTCACAGCTGTGCTCAATTTAAAACATTGATATTATTTAGGTCTTCATTTCTTTTTCTTTTTATGGATGGGTGTGCTTCCTCTTGTATGGCATATAAGTTGATTAAACTTTAAAAATATGAATTGGATCATATGCTCAGATTGTTTCCCCTTTTGAAAATTTTTAAAAATTTCTCTATTACTGAAGACCGTATTAGAGCCATGGATTTAAAAATGTCATTTTCCTCTTTAGAAATAGATGTTTATTTTAAAAGTAAATTGAAAAATGTCAGTCCTAAAAATTTTTGGAACTATACCTCGAAGTAAGTTGGTGATATCCTGTGATTTCTGGAAAGAATAGTTTCATCTTAATCTTAGATTAAAAGATTTCATGAAATATTAATGTCATTCTTACTCCAGATTGTTTGTTCAGTTGCATACATGGTATGTTCAGTAACATATATTTTTCTTTTCCCTTTTGCAATTAGTTGTCCTTGTAAAATATAGATACTGCTACTTTAAATTTTATTTCCATTTGGCTATGTCGATTCTGAAATATCGTTGTTGTTACATGCTTGCTTTGAAGCGAATACACTAACTTATGATACCAATATCTAAGAAGAATAAACTGCTTTTATTTTACTTTTTTGACAGTAATAGTCATAGGTCCTACTAGGGAATTATCTTATTTATACATGCAATGTTGCTGTTTTGTAATTCTGACTGATTACAAATACACATATGTAATTATTTTTTTCTTTCCTTTTCTAAGATATATATTTTTAGTGATTCTTGTACATTCAAAGTTTTATATTGTTTAATACCTAATACCCAATGCTGAACAAAAAAAGCATATCCTGAATGATTAGTAAATACTGTATTAAGACATTAACACAGACTAGAGCAGTGGTCTGCATCGATTGTTTCACTCTCCTACCTTAGGGTTACCAGGAAAGGACACTCTGATGAAATGGCTTTAGGTTTAGGCTTGAAGGATGAGAGAGAATCAAAGATATGGGAAGTAGAAAGAACAGCATTCCAGACAGTGGAAACAGTATGTGTCAAGGCACTGGGGCAGAAACGAACTGGATCTTTTTGAGGAACTAAAGGAAAAGTAATATGGTGAGAGCATAGAGACAAAGGGCAGAGTAACATGAGATCTGGTTGGAGAAGTAGGCAGGGGACAGATCATGCAGGGTCCTGTAACCCTTGGTAAAGGTTTAGAGTTGCAGTACAGTGGAAGTCAGTGGAGTGAGTTAAGCAAGGAAACAACATCACAATGTACATTTTTAAAAATCACTTTCATTACTTTGTGAAGCTTGAACAGGAGAAATAAAACTTGAAAGCTGGGAGTTAATTTCAAGAGACAGTTATACTAGTCCAGTTAGAAAATGATTATGGTGGAAATGAAGAAAAATAAATGAATTTAGGTGAACTTACAAAATCACAAAAATATAACTTGTAGTTATTATTTATACTTCTCATTTTCTGTCTTGTAGCAGTTGTGCTATATCAACATTATACTGATCATGTTTAACCTATAAAATATTTTCTGAATTTTTAATGGCACTAATTTTTCATTTTCATATTGAAGGAATTTCTTACCATTATACATAGCAATCTCCCTCTTTCCTTTCCTCTCTCTCTCACTCCCCATATACATATACAATCTATAGTCTTTCATTACCTTGAAAAACTAATTCTGTTTTCCTTTTTAAGAAAAAGGAAGCCATGTTCATCCCCTCTGAAAATGAGAAGATTTCTAAACAGCTTCACCTTTGTTATAATATTGTGAAAGATCATTATGTTCGAGTTTCAAATAATAATCAAACCATTTCTGGATGGGAAAATGGTGTATGGAAAATGGAATCCATATTCAGAAAAGTTGAAACAGACTGGAACATGGTAACTTAATGCAGGAAACTGTTTAAAACCTTTGTCATTGTTTAAACATATAGATTGGTTTCATTTTTCAGTTGTGCATTATGTAAAAACTGATACGTCAAAATTACTTTTAGTATTCCTTAAACCTGTAAAAGAAAATTGTGTTCCCAACATTTAATCAAGAGATCATAAGAAATTTGTGCATTTATAACAAGGAAGTGTTTTCATTAGAGGTTGAATTTAATGCTTTCATTGGGAAAAATAATCAAGTAAATGACCAATCCATGTGACTAATTTTTGCATAAATATATAAAGTATATTGTTATTTAACTTCTTCACAAGTATGTATTGATAGCCTACTAAGGTGGACTATAATGTAATATAGCATGTAGTTCAAAGTCCCAAGAGCTAACCATTTAATACACCTTCATTGCATAACAATATGAATGGTTGAGCAGTAATAGTTATTTCTACTCTGTCTTAAAGAATAAAGGAATGGATTACTAGGACTATAGTAGTTCCCATATGCCAACTTGTATATTGTTGTCCCATTATCTGTAACAAGTAAGAGACTTTGCTTTTAGTCTGCCCTACCCCTTAGACAAGCACCAAAAATAAACTCAGTTATTCAAATGACCTCACTAGATCTAACCATGTTACTGATATATTTTCATAGGAGTTAATGAACTTATAGGGAGTTTTTAAAGTTAACATGACAAATGTTTGAATGGGAAGGGAATTGTTCACTTGTAAGACCTTGGATAGATTAAAGAGTAACAGCATCTACTCTATGCTTATCATTGTTGTAGGCAGTAATCAGAGTACAGAAGGCATGCAGAGATGAGGTCCCTGCTTTTTTTCTAATCATAAGTTTTTATTTTAAAACTTATCTTGGTGATCTTTTTGTATTAAACCAAGAATAGCTTATAGCATTATTAAAATTGCAGATTTAGGAACTTCCTTCTTTCGTCAAAGAAGGGCCTATAAAATGAAATATAAAGTTTAAAATTTCAAGATATGAATCTGTATTTGAATATGAATCTGTAATCAATTATATAGTTGATGAGGGCACTGAACAACTCCTGGGAGACTATCCTTAGCCAAAAATATTTTCTGAACAGAAAGCAGGATAGAATAGATATGTTTTTATTCAAGGACTAAACTAGTCTAGCATGCCATTCTTCCTAACCAGCAGTGCAAATGGAGAAAGTAATGGTAGAGGAAACAATGCTGTGTTGCACAAGATGTGACGTGCTGAGAAACAGGTCTGTCGTATGGCATATTTCTTCTTTAGTTACTCATTGGTTCATCAGCAAACATTTACTGAATGCCTGTTGTGCTAGGCATTGTTGTCAGCTACACGGAAAAAAGATGGGAGGTACGGTGTCTGCTCTCACAGTCTAACGGGAAACCGAAGCATAAACAGCCATCTTAACCACGATGAAGAGTGCTATAATAAGGATATCAACACATTGCCATGGAGACACCAAGGAGGGAGTAATTAGCTCTGGCTGTGGGAATTGGGCAAAGCTCCACAGAGCAGGCAGCATTTGAGCCGGACGCTGAAGGATGAGTAGGTGTTTGTAAGGGAAGGGAAGAGGCTGTGGCCAGAGAGGCTGTATTGTATAAAAAGATTTAAGTAATGTAAATGAGATGCAAAGACCATTACATGAAAAACAGGCTCCTACTCAAGTTTATGCCTTGATATGCTTTTATGAAGGGCATCTTTTTAGAAGTTGAATGAATCAGTTCTCAGTTATAGTATTTAGTGCCCAATGAAGAAAAATATTAGAATCTTAACTATATTGTAGAGACTAATAACTCAGAAGTAATATATTTCCACTAAAACTTAATTTTCCCTCTAAATTAGCATTTTTAGTTATGTACTAGCATGTCCCCAGTTAGGGATTCTCTAGCTCTACTAAATAGAAGAAGACTATTTCTTTTGTTTTTTTAATTTAACATTTTATGTGCCAATTATAGTTGATATTCAATATTATTTTATACTAGAGGCCCGGTGCACGAATTTGTGCATTGGTGAGGTCCTTTGGCCTGACAGGCGATCAGGGCCAATTGGGGCCAGTCGCCCCGGGGGGGAGAGACTGCGGGAGATTGGCCAGCTGCAGAAGGTTGGCTGTGGCAGCGCACTGACCACCAGTATCACTAATCTTACTAATCTAAACAGTTGGCCCATGTGTCTTTCTCCTACACTAGTCTATGCTCCCCTTGACGATTGCCTCTTAACATTATATCCAAAGTGCCATATGCAATGTCTGACAATGTGCATGTTTGCTGAATGATGCAAGGAATTAATTCTTGACATAATGCCATACATCAAAAAGTGCTATAATGACTCTAGCAACAGAGTGAAAATTTGCTCAAAAATGCAAAGTATCTAAGAATAGCCAAGGGACACAGTCTGAATGAAGACAGGGTTTATTGTGGTGGTCTACACAGCCCTAAGGTGATATAAAATGTATGCCAAATACACTCAATCATTCTTTCTTACATTCACCAAACTTTACTTAAACATTTTTTATACATCAGATACTATGATAAATATATGAATACTGAGAGTAGTACAAAAATGAGTAGAAAAAGACAAGGTCTCTGCCCAGGTAATATTTATAATCTAGTAGGCGAGAGACAATCTCTTCTCACACGTATTTGTTGAAAAAAATGTCATGAAGAGGTACACAGTGTAGTAAGTCAATAAAGGGAGAAATGAATCCAGTTAGCTGGGACTGGAGGGAGTAGGCTTAAGCCAAGTTAATCTAACAGAAAGGAAAGGAAAGAAAGTTCTGTGGAGAGGGCAGGGCAGCTACAAGCAGAGAGCAGGGGGTAGCATAGTACAAGGCGAGACCAGAGAGGAAGACACTTGAGCTATTTCTTGCCCTGAGAGCATTTAGTAATCAGGGTTTTTAAAAAGTATTTATGGCGACCGCACAGAGAACATCTTTAAAAATATATATTTTACTGATTTTTTACAGAGAGGAAGGGAGAGGGATAGAGAGTGAGAAACATCAATTCACCTGCCTCCTGCAGACTCCTTACTAGGAATGTGCCCACAACCAAAGTACATGCCCTTGATTGGAATCGAACCTGGGACCCTCCAGTCCGCAGGCCGACGCTCTATCCACTGAACCAAACCGGTTAGGGCGAGAACATTTTTGAAGGGACCAGGGCAGATGCAGGGAGACTGGTTTGGGAATCTATTAACATCACTTGTTATTGCTTGCCTCCTAAAAAGTGTTCCTGACTTAGCTTTTTATATTCCTTTCAAATTCACACATCACTGAAGAACGTACCTGCTGAGTAGTACAATGCAGTGAGTCCCTGTGCTCCTGGGAGGCTACCTCTTTGAGAGAATAAAAGTCTGTTCTAAATACACAAGAGCAGGCTGCATGTGATCTGTCTAGATTCCAGGGGATTATGGAGGAAAGGTGTGGTGAAGAATAGGCTTGAGAAATAGTCAAGGGAAAGGTATTAAATACAAATTGATAGTTACAAAATAGTCACGGGGATGTAAAGTACAGCCTAGGAAATATAATCATTAACATTGTATTAACTATGTACGGTTCCAGGTGGGTAATAGATTTATTGGGAGGGTTACTTTGTAAATTATACAAATATCTGACCACTATGCTGTACAGCTAAAACCAGTCTATATATATAAAAGCCTAAGTGACCATTACAACCAGTTGACCGAACGACCACTCGACTGGTTGCTATGATGGTCACTGACCACTATGGGGCAGGCACTCAATGCAGGAACTGCCCCCTGGTGGTCAGTGCGCTCCCACAGCCAACCTCCCGCAGTCCCTCCCCCGAGCCGTCCAGGGCTGAAGGAGAGTTTCTCGTGTAAGGACAGGATGTGGAAGAGGAGGGTGTTTGGGTACACGAGAAGGAGCATGTGCATAAGCGCTGAGGAGAGAAACACCTGATATCTAGGGACGAGTAAGTAGTAGGGAATATGGAGCAGAATAGTGAGAAATGAGAATAGAGAGGTAAACAGTTGTCAGGTCCCAGGGACTTTGATTACCTTGCAGTAATGTAATAAGAATCCATGAAAGTTCAGGCAAGGAAAGGATGTGATCACACGAGTGATCCAGAGGAAATTCCAGAAAATCAGAAGCATAGTATAGAGAGATTACAGTGGATACTGGTAGTGACTCATGTTTGATTTCTGTGATGAAATGGGGTAACCCAAAATAAGGTTCATGAACAGTACCAATTTACCAGCATTAAATTAAAATCTCTTGAAATACAGCTGCTCTGCTGGATATCTGTAGGAATGTCTGCTGTACAGTGAACTTAGAGTTAATCCTAGCAGCCTAAGCAGAAGAATAACTTTAAGAGCACACTAGAGAACAACTTCAAATAGTGTAGTACAAACTGAGCCTCCAGGAATCCATAGTAACCAGTAGACCAGTCTGGCATGTAGTAATTCAAAAATCTGTAAGTGAAGATGTTCTGTAGAATGTGATCTACCTAAAAAAGCTGACAGTCTTGAAACTAGTGGTTAGAGACACAACCCAAAGAGCAAAGTTTCATTTGTGTACATTGTATAACTTAGACCTTAAGTCACAGACACATAGTCTTGTTTCTGCCCACAGGTTGTGATGCGCCTGTATGTCCTTACAGATGCCAAAGAGGGGCAAGGGTGGGTCGCTTTGGGGTGCTAGATAGATTTCAGTCTGCAGGGGGAAAGCTCCATGCCATCTGTAATACCACTGCTGCTAAAATAGGGGTAGCAGCACTCACCTCTCAGTAGTCCCATAAATTGCACAAACGAGCATATAGAACTATACATAATAATGACACCTATGAATTTAAAAAGACAACAGGCAAAAGTTGTCTAAAATAACTTCAAAAAGTTAGGAGCACACAACAGTTACAAAAAAATATGCTTTGGGAGGGGGGTCTCAACAAAAAAAATTGAATATTTGAAAGCATAATATATTCTAAATAAATTAAAATTATTCATTCTGTTGGTATTAACACATAGGACCACATTTGGAGGTTTATGTGAATCCTATTGTTTTGGTGCATTTCAAATTACCAAACTAAGTATGCATATTCTTGATAACCTCCTGGCACCTCTAAAAATGCTGAGTTAAAATAAATTGGTTAAAACGCTCCAGACAGACTGTATTATGTGAAAAAGATAATACGAAGTTTCAATATAAATAGGGTCTTTTATCTGCATATACCGTTTCTTTAGCCTGAGACCTTTTATTTGCTCACAATGTGTTTGACTGTTTAAGCATTTAAGAATTCAATGATGATCCATTTTATCCTTTAACTGTTTAAACTCTTAAAAGCTGATGCCCTCAGGGTTAAAAAATGTAAGTCTTAGAACAGGCAGTCCTCTCACATATGTTCAACAACTATTATAAACCTCCTGTGACAGTTAAAACCACAATTCTGGCCCAGAGCCACATGGTATAATGAAGACAGTTCTTGGGGTAAGCTAGAAATTTGAAATTAGGCTGACTTCAGCCTATCGTATTTTATACCCACACTTTTGAGGGGACATTTAAAACTACTGAGCCCTGAAAATCTATTACATGGAAGTACTTACCAAGATATGAATTTGAATGTATTTCTGTATTAAGATTGCTTTCCCCCAGTTTTTTAGTTCTTTACAACCCTCTTTCTTCCTGTAACCCTGTTATTTGGCTCATCTTTTCCAGATAATGTCATTACTAGCTACTTCTTTGAAGGAGTAATTAAGCTATGAATAGCCAGTAGTTTAGAACAGGTGAAATTAATGACTCCCAGGAAGCATGGTGCAAGCCTGAGCCCCAGGTTCTCCTTACAAATAGCTATGAGAGGAGCTGTAGGAACACGTGAGCATTAGAGGATGTTATAGTGAGGCTGCCCTGAACTTCAGTGGGACAGTTGACAGTTACATACATCTAGGTTTGCCATCCAGAACAATTGATTATACACATACTTTAGGCCTGGCGCACCAAATTCGTGCATGGGTATGGTCCCTAGGCCTGGCCTGCGATCAGGGCCATCTTCCCCAGCTGCTGGCAGCCGGCCCCACCACCCCCCCCCCCCAACCACCCACCCCCAGTTCCCCATTCACCATTGGGCGAGCTGAGCCTGTCAGTCGGGGAGAAACCGAGAGGTTGGCCATTCCCGCCCGCTTGCTGGCCTGGCCCCCCACCACGGGTAGCCGTCTGTGTGTGGGGTGACTGTCAGGGTGGGGGCCTTGGCCTGGCACTGCCTGCGTCCACCACCACCCATCCCCAGTTTCCTGTTCCCCATTGGGCGATCAGAGCCTGCTAGCTGAGGGAAGGGACTGAGAGGTTGGACAGCAGGCCCCCATCAGGTGATCGGGGCCTGCGGGCTGGGGGCAACTCCTGCGTTGAGTGGCTGCCCCCTGGTGGTCAGTGTGCATCATAGAAACCGGTTGTTCTGCCGTTCAGTCGATTTGCATATTACCCTTTTATTAGAGGATAGTCTGAGGAGTTCAAATCATTTTCCTTGGAGGGTGATTATTTAGTTGTTTTATGATCTCCAGCTCACTGATTTTAAAAACTTTCAAATTAAATTAACTGACATATTTGATCTGGAAGAAAAATATCCATAAATTGCCAAATTGAATAGAATATCAATAGAATGCTAGCAGTGATTTTCACTTGATGACTAAAGACATGGAGTAGGATTTTCATGCAGATGTGTTTTATATGGTCCCTGAGAAGTAGATTTGACATTTCTAAAAGAATATGTTTGTGTATATAAATTTTTTATTATTTAAATACTATTTATGAAATCCTTTGAATTCAGAACCTGTGCCCCCAGAGAGCTATGGTTTGGTTAAGTTAGGTCATACAAGTATACCAAAAATAAAATAGTTACATTTGAGTAAGGGAATATTGGTAGTTCAAGGTGAGAGAAAATTTGGGAGGACTATGAAAGCTGAGAGTTTGGATTTAATGCAAGAGCTGGGTGCTGGCACGAAGATGAGTGTAAAGTCATGACTAGTGGTAAATGCAGTATTAATGGAGAAGGCTTCCCCCTCCCCCCACCCCCCATATTCATTTAAAAAAATGCATAGATAATTTTGGGGGCTCTTTAGTCATAATGATTAGAGTTAGATCCTTAGGGGTTTGAGCCTGGGTGAATGCAGTTACCTGTTAAAGACCATGGCTGTGGAAGTAAGTTTTTATGTCATCAGTTTGAAGAGTTAGATGAAACTATAAAAGGAGATAAGCTGGAAGCAGCCAATAATCTTGGATGCCTTAACTAGTATAGATTTAAAGTGGTAAGGGCCATTGATGGTGACGGAATGGGGAGCGAACTATTTAGGAGGCAAGCATGAATATTACCTTTTGTAAAACATTACTTAGCAGTGGCTGAGGTATTTTTATTTATTTATTTATAGAATATGGCCCATCTCACTCTAAAAAAGCTTATTTGAAAATCCAAGCTTTGAAAAGAAGACAAATTAAGAAATAATTGCATTTAAAATGATTCTTCATTTTCAGCAGGATTCATCATAAAATTTATTTTAAATAGCTGAACTTATTAATTTAAAAAAGAATATGACTTACTGCCCTAACCGGTTTGGCTCAGTGGATAGAGCATCAGCCTGCGGACTCAAGGGTCTCAGGTTTGATTCCGGGCCAGGGCATATACCTTGGTTGTGGGCACATCCCCAGAGGGGAGTGTGCAGGAGGCAGCTGATCGATGTTTCTAACTCTCTATCCCTCTCCCTTTCTCTCTATAAAAAATCAATAAAATATATTAAAAAAAAAAAAAGAATATGACTTACCAAAATTTGGTTAGCATGCAGCCCTTTAGGGCTATACTTGTTGGGCTACTTGTATTCAAATAATATCTTTCTAAGATACTATAGGAAAAACTGCTAATAAAAATTTTTAAATGTTAGTAGTAAAAATGTTTTCAGTGGGAAAAATTAGGTTCGTAATAACCATTTGTACATAGTACCCTGTGAAAATAAGACTTTGACTATATGTGTTTTCTACACTATTTCGTTTTTTCTGACAATTCCTTTTTTTCCTCCTACTTTGTAGGTGTATTTAGCCCGAAAGGAAGGATCATCTCATGCTCATATTTCCTGGAAGTTTGAGTGTGGATCAGTTGGCCTAAAACTAGATAGCATTACCATTAGAACAAGTAGTCAAACCTTTCAGACTGGAACAATACAGTGGAAACTGCGATCTGATACAGCACAAGTAGAACTGTCCGGCGGTAAGCATTTGACTAGAGAATTAATCATGAAGTGTGTATTTAACACTCTGAAGAGTAATTGTACTTATTTGAGATGTAGTTTTGAGTCTTTTATACCCAAGAGTTATTCATACTATTGCAGAAAAAAATTAATTAAAACCTGTATAACCTCATTCTAATAGAAGGGCTTATGTTTTTTATTTTGAAACAGATAGAAGAATAATCATTTGTTTCAAAGGACACATTTCCTTCATAAAGAATAATTTGTTTTTATATTTATTTTTTAAGGGTTGATTTTTACCTACAAGTGTATAAAATGCATCCCAAAACTCTTTATGTTATTTAAGTTTCCAACGCAAAGTGTTATTTTTTTTCCTCCAACAGATAAAATTCCTCGCTCCTATCATGATTTTTCTGGTGCCACAGAAGTTATTTTAGAAGCAGAATTAAGCAGAGGAGATGGTGGTGTTGCTTGGCAACATACTCAACTATTTAGACAAAGCTTAAAGGACCAAGAAGAAAATTGTTTGGAGATAATTATAAAATTCAGTGACCTTTGAGAACCTGAATATTATAGAAAAGCTGGCAATAATCAAGGACTTAACCATGTTTTAGATTAGTCTGCTGGTTCAGTGCATGCTTAGTGGGCAATTTACTACTCTGCTAGCATATTTCTTTTGCTAGCTATCCATCATGTAACCCTCCTGGAAATATATCTTTGTACTATGGACCATAATTAAACCTTGAATTAAAAGCTCCCTTCCATATGTGACTGTAATTTGGAGTAAAGTCTCATTGCCCCAATATGAGATTTTAATCTAAAAAGTATAAGCATAGTTTAAAAGTAAAATGAAGGTATTCATGATTAAATGCTGTTCATGATTATGATAAAAGTTTAAGCTAGTAATAGTAACTTGATATTTTATGACCAGCTATTAATTTCTTCATAAGTTAATTGAATCAGGTTTCCTAAGATTTTTAATTTTTAATAACTGTGAAAGTGTAGTATCCCGTAAGTTATGCATGAAAATTTTTATGATTGTAAATATGTAGGCATTTAAGAAATAAATTGAATTATTTTGCTTTATATCTTTTTAGTGGTTACTTTGCCTAAATAAAAATCTTTAATAAGTATGTTAACCATTGAAAACAGCTTGAATAGACAAGAGTTATAAAAACATTGACTGCATAAATTTATATACATTATAAGTCCATAATATGTAGACTCATCAGAAAATGTTTTACTTTTGATTTTTCTTTTGAGTATTTTTATCTACCTCATTGAATAAACTATCTTGACTTTGAAACCATGTAACTGTATTATAAAATATTTATATGCTATATCAAGAGTTGTTTGTAAGTGTTCCATATAACCTCTCCAATTAAATTTAGTGAACATTTATTAGCATGTGTGTGCAAAAGCATTGTGATTGCACTGTGAAGGAGACAGTGTAAAAAAGCCCCTGTCCCCTAAATGCCTTTGTGATGTTCTGTAAAGTTCTCAACTTTTCATACCAGAAAAGTACATTCTCAGAGATTCTTATCCTGTGCAACTCAGTAAAGCTTGTGTATACATTATAAAATACATACTACCATTCTGGAACAGAGGTTTTCTATTTCCTCTTTAATTGTAGTCAGACTCAGTTGAAAGAGCACTTTCTTGCTAAAAAGTTTCATTTCAAGAAAAGTAGTTTGTGCATCTAAAGTTATTAATGTGGTTTAATATTAGAAAGTTTTCAGGAAATCTTGGACTCCTGAGTTAATCATAGCATTGTATGGTGGCCAAATACATGAAATTGGAGATTTGATTCTTATCTGTCTTAAGGTGTCTGGTATTGGCACATGAGTATGTTGATGATCAGGTGAACCAACCCTCTTAACCCCTTCAGAGAAACGGGAAGATCAACAAGCAATTTTATAAATCTATATATATAAAAGCCTAAGCGACCAGCCAACCGACTGACCAGTAGCTGTGACATGCACTGACCATCAGGGGGAAGACGCTCAATGCAGGAGCGGAAACCACAGGCATGGAAACATGGAACAGACTGATTAATCGCAGAGGGGAGGGGGGAGGGTGGGAAGAGATTAATCAAAGATCTTATATGCATTCTAGAGGCCCGGTGCACGGATTCATGCACCGGTGGGGTCCCTCGGCCTGGCATGTGCCCTCTCGAAATATGGTTTCCTTTGGGGAATGTCAGAGAGCCGGTTTTGGCTCCATCTCCGTAGGCCAGGCCAAGGGACCCACGAGTGCACGAATCCATGCACTGGGCCTCTAGTATAATAATAAAAATGCAGGAACTCAACTGATTATACTTTATCTGTGAAAAGGATACATCCTTACTGTGGCTTTAAGCAGGAAAAGGATGTGCTATACGTTAAAGAGTTGAACTGAAGAGAAAAGGTAATAGCACACTCTTCTTAAATGTATTCCATGAGAGTTTCAACCCCAATTCATGTTATTACATATTATACAGAAAAGGTTGGAAATAGCATAGAAGGTGTGGGACAAAACAGTTCTCAATAATGTGTCAAGCTAAGGGACAGTAATCTGGTCAGGCAAAAGTAACTTAGCAAAGAAGGGCCCTTGGTGCCGACATACTCAATAAACAGGCACTAATACGAGGGTTCACTTTTTATAGCAATCATTCGGTCTGTTGTGACTGGGGAGTGGATGTGAAGCACTGAGGAAATAACTGCACCATGTTCTAGAAACATGTGATTGATTAGCCTTCTGCAGCCATTGCACATTTTTTTAAAAGAATTTATGCCTTGGATTCAGGTCCGATCCCGTCATGATGAATTTTACAGAGTCTGTTTTTTGTTATAGTGGTGTGTTTTTTTGTGTTTTTTTTTTTAATAAGTCCTTTGCTGGAAATCACATTCTCAAGAGACAACATCTGATGCTTTGATCAGTTTACAAGGAGAGAAAGTGCCCTGGATTAAGGGAGGACTTTGGGGATAGGAAGGGTTGTTAGAGATCATTTCACCCAGGCTCCTCACTTTTCACTGAGGAAATTCAAACCCGAAGAAGTTTCATGACCAAATCCGTCCAAACAATTCAATGGATTCGTGACATAGGCAAGTTTCACTTATACATCAGCTTTTCTTTCTGCTAAGCTTCAGGGTTATAGAATGATAGTCCTATTGTATGGGTTGTCGTTTTAATACATGTTTCATGAATATAGATCTTTTGATAGGTACATTCTGTTTGAGGAGGTATTGAAATTGATATTAGAACCAATGATTTTTCTAACTATAGTTAAACTGTTCTGGGAAATAAACATTGTAATTTGACAATAGATAAGATATGGGTGCTTTGTATTTGTGTAATATATTTTTAAATATATTTTTTATTGTTGATAGTATTACAGGTATCTCCCCTATGGACCTTCTTGCAGTCCCATTACCCCTTTTTTATCTTCCCCAGGGACAACTATAGTCAGGAATTTAGAGTTTATTTTATTTTTTTGAACTTTTACTATATACATACATTTAATAATAAATAATACTGACTTGTATAACTTTAAATATATTTAATATTATAAATAGTACATAATGTTCTACAATTTGCTTTTTTAGTCATTTTCTAATCTATGTCAATATAGACTTACCTATCTTAACTCCTGTATAGATTTCATCATTGAACAGTACCAAAATTTACTTTCCCCTTACCAACCTGATGGCTATTTGCTTTTTCTCAGTGTTTATTACAAGCAGTTATTATTACTTTTACAATCAACACTGTCTGTATTCCCCTGTGGGTAAAGGCAGATTCTCTAGGATATATTCCTAGAAATAGAATTGCTGAGTCAGGGCCTGTGTACTTTTCAAAGGTATTGCCAATTGCTCTCCAAGAGGTTTAGTGCCAATTTACAGTGTTTGGCAGCTCACTCAAATTTCTGCTTCTCTATATCCTGGCCTACACGAAATTTCATTGAACTTTATCGTTGCCATTATGATCGGAGTTAAATAGTACTTTGTTGCATTACTTTGTATTTTCCTGATTACTGATGAGTTTGAGTATCCTTTCACATTTATTAATCATTTGGGATCCTTATTGTGTGATTGTCCATTCCAATATTTTGCCCTCTTTTCTATTGGGTTCTTTGTCCTTTCTCACTGATTTTTAGGTCTCCATATATTTGGGACAGCAATTTGCTTCATATATTTCTCTGCATATATGATCTACTTGTTAATAAGTTGATGATCCTTTCTTTGTCAGACAGAAACAACACAAAACAACAAAAAGCCATCTCCCATGCAAGATCTACTCAGGAAGATAACTTTTGATTTATAATCCCTGAAGCCAGTCTTCCTAGGTAAAGGGCTTTGTGGGAAGAAAAGGGACAAAGCAGTATCTGGTGGCAATAAAGAGTGGTGTGTTAGCTTCCTGGTGTTCTGGAAATATAAATGAATGAAATTCCATGTGTGATGGCAGCATGCTTATAATTTGGAGATGTTTCAGCTTAGGAAGAAATAAGTGCTTGAAAATGAAGGCCTTCTCATGTGGAATTCTTTGGTGGAAAGAAATACTGTCATCTGAAATGTTATGTCATCCCTTGCAGATGTAAAAGACTGAAAAAAGCAAAGAGAGCCTTTGATCTTCACTTAATAAATATGGAACCATCAAAGCTCTGGTACTTCTTGTAAACCTAAATTTGAAACAGATTCCACGCTCAGGGAGAATGATGGCAGGAGAACTTTGTAAAATGAATCACGGAAGTAGTTGCATTTCAAAAAAACTCATGGTTGAAAAACATGAGAGCTATAATTTCAGTTGGATTCAACTCTTCTGACAAATGAGTGTAAGCACTGAGTGGTCATGCACTCAAGTCATGCATCTTGGCCACTAAGGAAAAATATGATATTTTTATTAATAAAATACGATTAGCCTGAAAATGCCAGATGGCAGAGGAGTTGCCCAAAAGATAGAGTGCAATTCTTCCTTATCCAGATGTATGGGAATGTGTGTCTACCCTGGGGTGTCACAAGGTTCCTGTTCCAAGGGCTGGGTGTTTCAACTCCTGCTCTCCCTCGTCTTTGTACAATCCTTCCTGCCAGTCCCTTGATACATGCAGGAGCCGCAAGAATGCCTGCTAACAAATAGGCATGCATATTAACTAATCACTACTCCGAAAACATTTTTCAGTGGGAGAATGGAAATATTCTTTTGTGTGTGTGTGTGTGTGTGTGTGTGTGTGTGTGTGTGTGTGTGTTAAAAATAGTAGTACATATGTCTCCTTTTTTTGCCCATTGACCTTCCCCCGGCCCCTCCTACCCCCTGGCACATGCCCTTACCCCGCCCCCGTATGGAAATATTCTACATTTGGTTTCTCAGACTCTACACTCCACATCATAAATCATGATTCTTGGGGAGGAAACTTTTCATTTTGCTTTGTGAGTGCAAGTTAATTATTTTTCTTAGTTTGAATGTTGTGTTGTGTCTACTAGTAAGCCCCATTTTCTGATAAATGTATAATTTTGATTTCACTCACTGCAGAAGGAATTGCATGCAGATGAAATTATACTTCTTTTTATGAAATAATTCCCACTTTAAACTGCTTGCAAACATATTACCAGGGGACTACATAAAGAGAAACAGGAAGAAATTGCAAGCTGTGTATTTAATATTGCTGCTATTTCCCTTTTGTAATGGTGATGCCTCAGCACACAGATTCTTTCAGGCATTGTTCCCCGGAGGACTGTATTGGACCATCTTAGGGTTCAGCTAAAATGCAGATTCCTGGGCCTCAGGAAGATCTTTAAGTCAAAATTCTTAGGTTGAGGCTAGAGAATTTAGTTTATTAACAATTCCCCGATTCTTAAATGGACAAACATTTGTGAACTGTTTTAACCTAATGCTCTCATTTTTATGATGAGGAAATTGAAGGTCAGAGGGGAGAAAACATTGGCTAAAATTCACACAGGTTAGCGATTCTTTACCCAGTGCCTAATATTTGGAAGCCTCTACTATTGTTAACCTGTCTCATTCTCCTTTTTACCAGGTTTTGACTAACATGGGGTTGTTCGGTTCTAACCTTTCCATCATTATGCACTAGCTGCTTTTTCTTTAATTCAATGCAAAAGGACTATAATTTTTTTCTAGTTTTCTTCTTTCAACTTCTAGAGCAGACCAAGGTTACCTCCAGAGGAAGAAGGTGGAAAAGGAGAGAGAGAAAAAAGATGTTTTAGATGAACTGAGCCCGTCTTTGCATCTTATTTTACTTTGAACCCACTGCAATATATATATATATGGCCTGAAAACACAAGATGGCATTTTAATGACTTCCCATTCAAGCCAGGAAC